CAGCCTCCCGAGTAGCTGGCACTACAGGCATGTGCCACCATGCCCGGCTAATTTTATATATATATAAATTGGCCAATTAATTTGTTTCTATTTATAGTAGAGACGGGGTCTCGCTCTTGCTCAGGCTGGTTTCGAACTCCTGACCTCGAGCAATCCGCCCGCCTCGGCCTCCCAAGAGCTAGGATTACAGGCTTGAGCCACCGCGCCCGGCCTAGACCAATTATTTTTTAAGAAATAAAAAAAGTTCCCCCAAAAAGCATTCTGTGTCTGCCCTCTCTTTCAAATGTACATTATAAGTAGCACTCAAATAAAATACATTTCTCAAATAATGGATTTTTCTGAAAATTTTATTCTTTTAGCTCCAGTCACTGAAAGGGCTAAATTGATTTCCTTGCCAACTAGTAAAAACTGGACCTTTGGACCTCAGGATATAGATGAACTGATCTTTATGCTAAGTGACAGCCCTGGGGTCATGTGCCGGCCTTCCCGAGTCAGGCAGATGTTTGCCTCCAGAGCCTGTCGAAAGTCTGTAAGTAAAGAAAGCTCGTCTGCTCAAGTACATAGTCCGAGGAATTTCTTGGTTTATCTCCTGATTCGGTCAAGGTTGTTAAATGCCTTTATGATTGCCCTGGGTCATTTTATGTGGAGAGCCACATCGTTCCCTGTCAGTATGACATGCCAGCTCACCATGTCTTTCTATGTTGTCTGGGACCTCTAATTCATACCTATTGCCCTTTCTCTGCTTCTATTAAGTAGTGTTGTATCTTAGAGCTTTCATTGATTCCCTGCACAGTTAGCTATTTATGTACCTTGTTTGTCTGTGGACCCTGTGGGTAATAGCAACTTGAGTAGATAGAGGTTTGCTGCTGCTAGGCCTAGATGACACTATGCAGGATTCTACAGAGTCATTGAATTGGTGAGTGTTTCGCAGGGTGCTGTGTGTGATTGATCACTGCATGTTGTGTCACTGCTGCCGCTGGGATCGGTGTTAGAAAGTGGTAGCAATGGGTGGGGATTAGCCTAATGTCCAAGGAAAGTAAGTGACTTTGTTTCACCAGCTGTTAGGAAAGGACAGGATGCCCTTCCTTTATTTATTCAGAAGATATTCCTTGAGCCCCTGCTGTGTAGCCCACCCTGCTCCAAGTGCTAGAGACAGAGGTTAACAAGGCAGCTGAGGTCCTTGCTCTGGTGGAGCATATAGTTGGTGGGGAGAAATAGACAACAAACATAAACAACACCCTAAGATGCCAGTAAGTACAGTCAAAAAATTGAAACTGTGTGTTGGGACAGGGCATGACCACAGAAAAATAAGGTGACCAGGTGAGGTGGTGGTTAGGGAACAGCATCTGAGGAGGTGGCATCTGAGTTGCTACATGAAAGGTAGGATCAAGTAAGAACTTGCCAAGGAGAGGAAATAGCAAGTGTAAAGGCTCGGGCCGTTTGAGCCAAGCCAGGGGCTGACTGTGTGCCTAGAGAGGGGATTGGATGGGGCAGAGCAGCATCCAGAGGACAGCCGTGTAGCCTCTTGCATGTCATGGTCAAAACCTGGGAGTCTGTGCTGTGTGTGGCGGGAGTTGCTGGGGAGGGAACAGACAGCAAGGGGTGCTGGGACTACAGGAGGGAGGAGGCAGCAGCAGGGTGACATTTGGGGATTGGCTGGATTAAGAGTGCTGTGTGGGACATGGTCTGTTTGGGATCCCATTAGACGTTAAGTGGGGATCTCTGAAAACAGTCGTGTGAATGAGTCTAGAGCTCAAGGGAAATGTCAGGGCTGGAGATAAAATTTTAGGTGTCATTTATAGCCATGAAATTGGATAAAATTACTCAAGGGCAGAGCTTAATTAGAAGAGGGCCCAGAATCTGACTTCTAGCTGTAGATATTTCTTTGATACAGACCTTATGTTAACCTTCTAATCCTGGATGGAGTATGTGAGGCTGGCCTGGACTAGTAGCCAGGCATTTAAAAATTCTTGGTTTCAGCATGGTTCAAAGGCCTGTGGAGCCACAGGCTGCTCCTTCCTCCTCCCCTAGCAGTTGTGTTGGGCTCCAGCTCTTCCTCCTCGGTCTTGGGTGCTAATGCTGTCCATGGGCCTCTCCTTGGTTGCTCCCTACCCACCCTTCTTGCCCATCTCTTGTGCACTGCTCCTTCCAGTTCTACAGTCTCTCTGGAACCTTCGCGCCTCTGCCCCGTCTGCTTGCCGTCCCCTCTGTTCTGCACACACCTGGCTCCCCCGGTGTGCAGGCCTCCCCACAGCTGACTGAAGTAGCCTCTCCTGGGCCCTCCTGGGTGCCATAGTCTTGGTTCTCTGTTAACTTGTTTATTGTCTGTCTTCCTCCAAGCCGGCAGAACCATGCTCTTACTCTGCTCCTCAGACTGTGACTGGCACGTGGTGGGCACACAGTGCTGCAGGAAGGAGGAGGGTGACAGATGGGTTCAGGCTTGTCTCCTCTCCCCATTGCTCCTTGTCCCTCAGGGTCTCAGATTCTCTGGCTCGCTGTGGAGTCTGTCTCTCTCCCTCAACCTGCCAGAGAGGGATCCACGCCATGGAGCCAGTAGGGCCAGGGCTGTAGAGGGAGAGGCAGGAGTGCTGTTGTGTGGTGAGCAGGCCAGAGCCTGAGGAGAGGGAAGTGACACACAGTGACACATGTGCCCGTCTAGGGAAAGAGGGTGCCAGGAGTGCTGTGGTCCTGAGGCAGGTGCTTGTTTGATGGACTTGTGCAGGAGGAAGGGGGTGGCAGTGCAGCTCAAGTGGGGAGGGAGGGATGCATGCTTGGAGGTACGGGCAGGCCAGTAAGGGCCAAATCAGGTGACAGCCAGGAGGTCTTTTATTCAGGTGAGAGGAGAGAGCTGTGAAGAGGAGTGATGTTATCTGACAGATCTTTCAAAATAATCCCTGGCTGCAGAGTGGAGAGCAGCTTGTAGAGGGTGGGGGAGCAGGGAGGCCCTCCTCGGCAACTGCCGGCGGTGGTGGGGGGGGGCGGGGGTAGCTGGGTGCACAAGATTACACCTGAGCCTTTACGGCCCGAGCCTTCACACTTGCTATTTCCTCTCCTTGGCACGTTCTTACTTGATCCTACCTTTCAGGTAGCAACTCAGATGCCCCAGTCAGTGCAGCTGGGATGGAGGTCGCGGTGGAGCAGCTGAGAGTGGTTGAGTATGGACAGGTGTAGTCAGTGTCTCGAGTAGAGGTGGTGCTGCCATGAAGGAGCCAAGGGGGGCCTGGATTTCACAAAAAGGGTGGGGGGCTGAGGTAGGGTTCTTGGGGTAAGATTTTTCAGGGCATGTGGTTTTGAGTTGTAATCTTGTGTACCCTTATTTTAAAAAGGAGTGCTTCTGAGCAGTTGCTTTTCTAACAAAAAACCCAATAAGTCTTTAAATTGTTGTGTCTCATACTCAGGTGATGATTGGAACTGCTCTTAACACAAGCGAGATGAAGAAACTCATCGCCCACATGGGTGAGATGGACCACCCCTGGAACTGTCCCCATGGAAGGCCAACCATGAGACACATTGCCAATCTGGATGTCATTTCTCAAAACTGACATTTCTAACTGTATGGAATTATGTATATATATATTTGGGGTTTCAAAATTAACCTGCTGCTTAAAAAATAATGTATCAGATCCATTTAAAAATGATCTCGAGAACCTTTTCAAACCATGTGGAGCATTGCTTGTAACACTTTTTGTTCTGCATTTGCGCGTGCGTGTATAAGCAAGAACATGTTTTACAAAAATAAGAAGAGCACTTTGGAAGTTACCCAGGCCTCTGTTCTTGGTGAATATATTTTGGTCTGCAACTTTTAGTCCTTAACGATAATTAAATTCATATTGGTTTAATTTCGTGAATGTAAAATCATGGTCCTTTTGGGTTAGTGGTTCTCAACCCTAATGCACGTTGTATTTTAAGAAACGAATAATCCAAAAAACCCAAGGGGCATTCTCTGCCCAGCTTGAAGAAAATGGATGGGGCTGGGGTCACTATTTTTAAACATTCCTCTGTGCGGCCAGGGTGGCAAAGTGCTGTTCTAGGCAGGGAGAAAAAAAGATTTGTTTTTTTCTGTAATGTAATGCTGTGATCGATTTCCTCAGTAACATTTCCTCGGTAACATTCTAGTTACCGACCCTCAACGGTACTGGAGATAAACAAATCTCTGTCTATCTTGTCAAATAGTGTTTCATGTAATCTTGTCCTATTTGAACTGTGCAAAAAAATGGAAGTAAAGATGCCCTGTGTGGAGTACAAATGGAGGTTGGTGCACAGTGATGACAAGTGTAGGCCTCCCCTCTGCCCTCTGGGGAGCAAGGGCTTCCACAGATGGAAGCAGACAGTAAAGTAGTGACTATTGCCATGGTTTCTGACCATCGCCACACTGGTGTGCGTCTGTGGGAGCTCATGTGAGAATCACGAGAACTGTGTAATTGGGAATTAGAGGCAGGTTAATGGCCCCCGAAGACAGCTGTGGCCTAATCCCCGGGACCTGTGAATACATCACCTTACGCAGTAAAAGGGTCCCTACAGGTGTGACCAAGTTATGGGTCTTGGAATGGGGAGATTATCTGGACTATCTAATGAGTTCTTCGGAGTGGAGGACCTTTCCCAGCTGCCGGAGAGATGACACTTGTTGGTTTTGAAGGTGGAAGGAGGCACAGAGCTGAGGAAGCAGGCGACCTGTGCAAGCCGGAGAAGAGGAAATCGATCATCTCCTGGAGGCTCCAGGAGGAGCCAGCGCTGTCAGACTAACTTACTGACTGTAGGATAATAAATGTGTGTTGCTTCAAGCCACTAACTTTGTGGTACAGTTTGTTTACGGCAGCGATGGAAAACTAATGCCTGAGTAATTACAATTTTATGGAGAAGCAGTTAGCAGAGCTGGGAAAGCCCATGCCGGGCGCCACAGGTGCTGCAGCCTGAGACCCGCCCGTGGCCTCGCGTTGGCGGTGCGGCGGCCCCTTTAAGAGCGAGGGGCGGGGCGGGCGCGGTTGCCGGGACGGTGGGGACGCGTGCGGCCCTGCGCCCCTGCGCCCCTGCGCCCCTGCGCCCGGCCTGTGGAGCCCGGGGCGTCCGGAGCCGGTGAGTGCCCCGGCCGCTGTCCTGCGTGCAGGCGGCAGCCCTAGCGACCATCCCGCTCCTTGAACCGACGCGACCTCCCAGGACCTGGGTACGTGCCTGGGGGACAGGGAGGACCTGAGGCCGGCCAGGACTGTGCTGGGCCCCCGACCAGAGCTGCGTGCGGTAAACAGGGAGAACCCGAAAAAAATTAGGAAACACGCAGTGAGAAGTGAAATTTGCTTTATTTGCAGTTCCAGTTTCACTGATAGAGGACTAGAAAGCCTGTAGTAAAAGCCCGTCTGAACTGAAAGGTGAGCGCAGCTGGGGCTAGGTTACCCTGGCCCCAGACCGGTGATTCGGATCCTGGGACTAGCAATGGGGGTTTTTGAAGCCTGGAGGTGGGGTTGAGCTGGCGAGTGGGGTGTCCGGGAGATGCCCTCCAGGCAGAGGAGGGCCAGGGGCACTCACTGCACCCCTGGGGCACAAGAAGAGGGAGCAGACCTTGCCTTGCACCCCAGGACTCGATGAGTCCTGTCTGATGGCTCTGGATGCTTTCACTGGGGCCATTTTGGGAGGGTGGTGAAAACTGTGGTGGTGGTGGTGCCTTAGCTCTCTGGCGTGGGACAATTCATTGACACATCCTTTCTTGTGTGGCCCATCAGAGGCATTCAATCAATAGTAGTCAGCCAATGATTTCAAGTTCGAAAACAGGAAAGGGTCAAAATAATCACTCCACCTGTTGACATTGCTCTGTATCCTGTATCTGGGATTTCTCTATGCATCATCTCATTTAATCCTTATGAGGAGATAAGGTACCGTAACTCCTGTTTGATATCTGAGGCAGAGGGGATTAAGCAAGTTGCTCAAGAGCACAGAACTGGTAATGGACAGTGCACAAGCCTGCATCCAGCTCTGGAGCATTTTACAGTGCTGACATATCAAGGGAGGGGCTTTTAAAGTGTGACTTGGCAGCATGGGAAACTTTAGAGGTTAAGTAGCCCTTTTTTGTGTATAGTGTTACCCTTCTTATGGCAACCCTATTTGAAAAGAAATAAGACAGTAGTTCCAATTTTAAAAATTTAAGGAACAACCAATGCAATATTGAGATGATAAACTGATGATACTTGTAATTAATTTTTCAGGTTTAAGGAGGAAACTGATAATGGCATTGTGTTGTAAAGCTAAAATTCTAACAAGTGAAATGCCCAGGTATTTAGAAACATAGTGTTTATTTTTCAGATAAAATTCATCAGTGGTTTGAAACGAACAGCTCTCAACCAAAGGAATCACTTGGTATTTATAAACTTTGGGTCTTCCAAAGACAATGGTGAAAGAAAAGAAAAAAGCAGACAAAAAGGTAGATAAGTCTGCCCGCTCTCCCTCGTCTCTCTCTGACTATCCAGAGTTTTCCAAACAAGATGGCAGTGCCGCCAGGCAGGAAATGTCCCCAGTTGGTGTCCCGCCATTGGAAACGCAGCTCAACGAAACAGAACCCCACAAAGAACCTGAAATCATTGAGGAGGAGGAAGATGCCACTCAACAATACGAAGAGCCCATTCTGACCAAACTCATAGTGGAAAGGTGATTTTAAGGGGGAGCAATAGGATTTAACACTGTGAATCAGGCATTTTGGGGACGTTTGCTTTGCTTCAAGCATATGAATCCTCATGCATTTTTCATGACACAATTTCCCCACATCAGAAAACAGCCCCCCTTTTAAGCTGTGTCTTACGCTGGCACAAGGCTGGTAGCCCCAGGGCTTTCTCTGCCGAGGTCTCTGGGTGCTGCATCTTCCACGCTCCCTTTTCTACCACTTCTTTATTCTCTGTTCTCTCTCCCTCTCTCAGCAATCTCTTCTCTTATTATATTATAGCTTTACATACCATCTCCCTAGATGACTGTAAAAATCTATTTTCTTTAGCACTGTTCTCCTAGAATTTCAGATTCAAAATTTTAGCAGCAATCCCCAACCTTTTTTGGCAAGGGACTGGTTCCAAGGAAGACAATTTTTCCACGGAGTAGGAATGGGAGGTGGGGTGTCATGGGTGGTGGGGCTGTGGTGCAGAGCTTGGGCGGTGATGGGTGGCCTGTTTCCTAACAGGCCACACACCAGTAATGGGCCAAGGCCGGAAGGTTAGGGACCACAGGTGTACTGAACTCAAACTCCTTGTATCCAAAACTGGAGATTGCTGGCCTAGAAATAAGGTCTGGATTTGTCTTAGCTCTATGACATTAACACCATCCCTGAAACTTATGAGCTTCAGGTCCTTAATCAGGGGAAAATAAATGAGAATACTCACCTTAGAAGGTTATTCAGAATGTTACTATTTCTCTCCTAGCTATTAGCTTCTCCCTTGTTCCCTTTTCCTGTAACAGCACCACCACCTTCTTTCACATCCAGGCTTAAAACCTTAGAACTATCCTGCTCCTTCCCTTGCCTTTCATTTTCCCTCTGTGGTTCTCCCATTAGTCCTTTTTTCTTCATTATCTCTTGACGGGACTATTGGACTTGTTTCCTAACGATTTCTCTGCTTCCAGTCTGTCTTCTGAGGCCTCCGTGTACATTTACCTACCTAGCATGTGGCTCTGTTTACATCGCTGCCTCTATTAGTTGTGTATTGTTGTGCAGCACATGACCCCAAAGCTCAGCAGCTGCAATGTTAAACAGTATCTTGCACTGTTTCTGGGGGTCAGGAACCCCACAGTTTGGTGTGTGGATCAGGCGCGCTCATGAGGTTGCAGTCAAGGTGTTGGCCCTGGCTGCTGTCATCTGAAGGCTTGACTAGCTGCTGCCAAGGCTGTTGTCCAGAGGCTTCGCCTCATGTCCTTATCATGTGGACCTCTCTGGGGCTGCCTGAGTCCACGCCGTGGTAGCTGCCTTTCCCCAGAATCAGCGATCTAAGAGCAAGCAAGGGCGGAAGCCATGATGTCTTTTATCACATGTTCTGGGACCTAGTCTCAGAAGTCACCGTTGCCCTTTCCACAATATCCTAGTGGTCACACAGGTCAGCCCTATTTTGTGGGAAGGGAGTACACAGAGTGTGACCACCAGGTGAGAACCACTGGGAACCATTCAGAGTCTGGCCACCACACTCTCTTTAATAGTTTTTAGTTTCTTCACAGTGTGTACAGAGTGAAACTTAGCCTGGGCCAGGCATGGTGGCTCTCGTCTGTAATCTTAGCACTCTGGGAGGCCAAGGTGGGAATATTGCTTGAGCTCAGGAGATCAAGACCAACCTGAGCCGGGCGCGGTGGCTCACGCCTGTAATCCTAGCTCTCTGGGAGGCTGAGACGGGCGGATTGCTCAAGGTCAGGAGTTCGAAACCAGCCTGAGCAGGAGCGAGACCTCGTCTCTACTATAAATAGAAAGAAATTAATTGGCCAACTAATATATATAGAAAAACTTAGCCGGGCATGGTGGCGCATGCCTGTAGTCCCAGCTACTCGGGAGGCTGAGGCAGGAAGATCGCTTGAGCCCAGGAGTTTGAGGTTGCTGTGAGCTAGGCTGACGCCACGGCACTCACTCCAGCCTGGGCAACAAGTGAGACTCTGTCTCAAAAAAAAAAAAAAAAAAAAAAGACCAACCTGAGCAAGAGCGAGGCCCCATCTCTACCAAAAATAGAAAAATTAGCCATGCATGGTGGTGTGTGCCTGTAGTCTCAGCTACTGGGGAGGCTGAGGCAGGAGGATCACTTGAGCCCAGGTGAGCTATGATGATGCCATTATACTCTACCCAGGGCGACAGAGTGAAACTGTCTTTTAAAAATAAAAGAAACACCAGAAACCTCCTTAGCCCGACACTCTGACCCTCCCGAACACAAGAGCGCAGCCAGACTTCTTCCTGTGGATTCTGTTCGTTTCTGTCTTTGCTTACACAGACTGTCCTGCCTGGAATGCTTTCCCCTTGTTCCTGTAGACCAAATTCCACCTGCTTTTTTCAAGGTCAACCTTTTCCATTAATTCTTCCTAATAAGAAGGAATTTTCCTAAGAACTCCTTTAAACTGTTGTGTTTTTTGTTTGTTTGTTTGCTTGTTTTTTTTGAGGCAGGGTCTCGCTCTGTCACCCAGGCTGGAGTGTGGTGGTATGAGCACAGCTCACTACAGCCTTGAACTTCTGGCCTCAAACTTTAACACTTGGCCTTTAAACTTTAAAACCTTTCAGTCATACTTACCATTTTGTGTTATGTACCACTATATTTATTATTTTCTATTACATACATACCTATTATGTATGTATCACTGAAATTTGTCTATGAGTCTCAGCTTCTCTGCTTGGCTGAAAATTTCTCAATAGCAGAGATATACCCAGAGCATCAAACACCAGCCCTTAGACGTGGCAGGGTGTTCAGTCAAGATCCATAGTTTGAATGATATCCACATCTATTTATTATCTATCGTGTGCCAGCCCACAGCTCTAGCTGAGTACTAGAGAAGGATATTATGAAATACGAAACATAGGCAGTGTGTAATTATGTTCTATGTTGTGCTGTATTTGGGAAACTCGGAGCATAGTGTCATAGGTGTGCCCTGAGTCAGTTTAGGGATGGTGGGGCCTGCAATTACCTTGAGGCAGGAGCCCTAGGAATTGAATGTTGTGACACAGAGCTGGGGAGGATCGAGGTGGAGAGCATCTGGAAACATACATGTGTTTTTAGGGAGAAGGGGGAGGTATCATTGATTCTATTATACGGAGCTATTATGAATTCTTTTAAAAATCCTTTCTGTTTCTTTATTCATTGTTTTTAATTATTGGAGTAATATATACTCGTGACGAATGAAATAATGCAAATATGGCTTAAAGAAGAGCTAAGTACCCCTCCACCCTATTCTAATTTTACTCTCCCTGCCCCTCCCCCAACTCTCAATTTTAAAGTCTTTTGGATTTTCTAGCTAAATGATCACATAATCTTCAAATTGAAATAGTTTCACTTCTCTTTTCAATATGTATGCCAATTGTTTCAATTTCTTGAGTTCTGCATTAACTCGGGACCTCTAGAACAATATTGAGTAATTGGTGGTAAGAGCAGGCATCCCATGCACATTCCTGATTTTAATGGAATTGATTTCAGCATTTCACCCTTAAAAATCAGGGTTGCTACTGTTTTTTCAGAAATAGTCTATTGTGTTTATATAGTTTCCTCATATTATGTTCCTTATATTGTGTTTATATAGTTTCCTCATATATTCCTCATTTCCTCAAGTTCTATCTTAGAATTTTTTTTAGACATGATTGCCAAACCTCATCAGATACCTTTCTGGCATTGAGATATACCTGTATGGTTTTTCTTCTTTACTTTTCTTATGTAGTGAATTATGTTTATAGATTTTTCTAATGTTTAATCATCTTTAGATTCTTGGAATAAGCCCAGTTTGGTCACAGCTGCCACAGGTTCATTTGTTTGTCACCTCACTTCCTTAGAGCCCAGAGAAGAGCCATGTGGCAAATCCCACGTTACCCATTCAGTTCTGGACTGGAAATCTGGGCTCTGTGTTTGGTAGCTCCTTCCCCAAAGCTGATACATCAGAGAGCCCTGTTGGATCTATGTCCAGAATATATCTTTTTTTAAAAAAATTAATTTTTATCATGGTAAAATAGACATAACATAAAATTTACTGTTCTGATCATTTAGCAGGCATCCTCAAACTACGGCCTGCGGGCCACGTGCGGCCCGCCAAGGACATTTATCTGGGCCACTGGGTGTTTTTGCCGCTGCTGCCTGTCCTGCTTAGCAGCCGACTGTCCCAGGCCCACAGTGCGCATGTGTGGAATGTGCGCTGCACTCTCCAACGGCCCTCCAACAGTCTGAGGGACAGTACCTGGCCCCCTGTTTAAAAAGTTCGAAGACCCCTGATTTAAAGTGTAAAATTCAGTGGCATTAAGTACATGCACATGCAACTGTCACCATTATCCATTTCCAGACCTTTCTCATCATCCCACATAGAAACCATCCAGAATACACTGTAACTCTCCATCTCTCTCCCAGTCACTGCCCTCTGCTGGCAGTTGTCTGCCACTCTTGGCTCTCCCGACAATCTGCTCACACCCCAGCCGCTGTGGTCTTTTTTAAGATAGGAATCTGATCTTGTCCCTGTCTTGGTGCCTCCCAGAGCTCTGGATTGTATAGCAGGGCTTTATCCCAGCCCACTGGGCCAGCCTGGATGGCCTCTGCCTCCCTCTCATCTTCCTCCTGAACTCCTCTTTCCCTGGCTTTGTGTGCTCTCCTTTCTATTTGCTGCACTGCAGAAGGCAAGCTCTTGCCTGCCTCAGGGCCTTTGCACTACTGTTTTCGCTCTTCCTGGGGTTCTTCTCGTGGCTGTTTGTCTCACATGCTTCAGGCCTCAGTACAAATCTAGTGTCTTCAGAAAGGTCTTCACGCTGACTGACTGTACACAGTAGCCTCCCCCTGATCAGTGCTTTCACAAAAATTGAGTATGACCTGGAATCATCTTGTTTGTTTCCTGTTTATTGTCTGTCTGTCCTGAGTGGACTGCAAGCTCCTGAGGGTAGGAACTTTCCAGTCTTGTCCACAGCTCTGTCCCTCAGACAGGCACTCAGATAGGTGCTCGGGAGGAATGTTTATTGAGTGAATGAATGAGCGTGAGATATCACCTGCACCTCTTCCTCGATGTTAACTTTATATATTTTTATCATGGTAAAATATATTAATATAACAAAATTTACTATTTTAAGTGTACAATTCAGTGGCATTAAATACATTCACAGTATTGTACAACCATCACCACTACCTATTTCCAGAACTTGTTCATTATCATAAACAGAAACTCTGTGCCTATTAAACGGTGGCCGCTACACTCCCCCTGCGAACCCCTGGGAACCTCTATTCTACTCTCTGATCATATATTTTAACTCACTGTCACTTAGGTTTACTCACATCATTCCTTACCTTGGATTATGTTTATTTCTTTGCAGCTATGAAGGGGAAAAAGTCCGTGGGCTGTATGAGGGAGAAGGCTTTGCCATCTTTCAAGGAGGTAGCACCTACCACGTGAGTTATGTGCTTGGGAAGCTGCAGGGCAGGGAGGAAGGTGTGGGGCCATGGATTTCGATTTGCAAATCTTCAGTAAAGTCCGTTGATGCTTCAAAAGAACTTGAAGGTACTTCATGCTGATTGTATTTTGAAACACGATTAACATATTTAAGGTAAAAATATGGCTCAGTATAACTGAAGTAGTCATTTTGGATTTCTTTCCCTGGCTCTTATTGTACAAATAACAGGTCACTAAAGTAAATAATGAAGAGTAAAATCCCAGCATCACCATCCTTTTGCCATAAATGTGTTCAACTGGCTATGTTCCTTTTATTTTAGATGGGCAAATTCATTTTGCAGATAACATTTTGAATCTGTCTCTGTTTTAATAATTTTTGAGAATTTTTTATTACGGTAAATTATACATAACATTTACCATTTGTTTTAGATAGGGTCTCGTTCCGTCACCCGGGCTGGAGTGCAGTGGCGTCGTCATAGCTCACTGCAACCTGGAACTCCTGGGCTCAAGCAATCCTTCTGCCTCAGCCTCCCAAGTAGCTAGGAGTACAGGTGTGCACCACCGTGCCCGGCTAATTTTTAAAATTTTTTGTAGAGATGGTGTCTCACTATGTTGCCCAGGCTGGTCTTGAACTCTTGGCCTCAAGCAATCCTCCTGCCCTTGGCCTCCCAAAGTGCTAGGATTTCAGGCATGAGCCAGCATGCCTGGCTTCCATTTTATTCATTTTTAAGTGTACAGTTCAGTGACATTAAGCACATTCACATTGTTCTGCAACCATCATGACCGTCCATCTCCAGAACTTTCTCATTACACCAAACTGAAGCTCTGTCCCTGTTAAACCATAACTCCCCATCCCACTCTCAATAACTATTTTTGATATTGCATTGTGTTCTAATTTGCTATTCATAACTGTTCCATAGTTTTATACTTTTGGGATATTTAATTTTTTGCCCTTATTACTAACGTAACCATGAAGATATTTATTCATTCATTCATTCAGTTTATCAAATGTGCTTATTATCGGAGAATGAATTTTTGTAGCTGAGGTCATCAGGCATGAGTTTCAGTACTGATTTTTCCCTTGAACATACAACACGTTCTTTTTTCCTGTGTCCTTAAAAACTCTTCAAAACACCATTTACTATGGCTGACTACTGGTCATTAAAGTGACCGCCCCACCTGGCCTTTGCTCTGACCTCTGGCATGAAGGTGTCCCATTGATCCTGATCATGGTCTTCTCTCTGCACTGAGCACTTGTGTGCAGCACTGGCATGTGACCCATCAAAATGCCACCTGGATCTGTTACTGCTTTTGCTCACTGCCCTGGCATGGCACAAACCCTTCCCAGGCTGCTGAGGACTGCCCCAGAGGAGCTCATCTGGGCGCTCTCAGGTGTGCAGTTACCTGACTGCTCACACTGGGCCAGCCCATCCCATTGAAGGCTGGGCAGCCCTGCCCTTCCCCGAAGTGGGTGAGGATCACCTCCCTACCCACTGCCAGCTACTTGCTTTGTAAACTTTCCATATTTTCCTGAGACTCAAATGATTTTGATGAAAAACAATCATCGGTTGAATCTCTTTTAAATTGTTTTCTGGGTTTTTTTAAAAAACAATTTAAGTTTCTGCTTAAGTTTTTGTGTTTGTTTTGGCTTAGGCCACACCCGAAACACCTCTGAGAGCAGGAGCACTTATTTGCCCCCCTCGTGTTGCTAGACATCAGGTGACTGGTGTTTTCTGTGTTAATGCAGATTTTTATTTTTACTTTTATTTGTTTTTGAGACAGAGTCTCACTCTGTTGCCCAGGCTAGAGTGAGTGCTGTGGTGTCAGCCTAGCTCACAGAAACCTCAAACTCCTGGGCTCAAGCGATCCTGCTGCCTCAGCCTCCTGAGTAGCTGGGACTACAGGCGTGCACCACCATGCCTGGCTCATTTTTTCTACATATTTTTAGTTGGCCAATTAATTTATATTTTTAGTAGAGATGGGGTCTCGCTCTTGCTCAGGCTGGTTTCGAGCTCCTGATCTTGAGGGATTCGCCCGCCTCAGCCTCCCGGAGTGCTAGGATTACAGGCGTGAGCCACCACTCCTGGCAATGCAGATTTTTAGTTTCTAGAACACTGAGTACCTGGGAGCCTCAGAGGGAGCATCACCACGAGGCCATAGCACGGATGAGGAGGCAGGCCCAGCAGGATGAGTCGGGAGCCCTGAGCCCCAGGCAGGTCCAACCAGGGTTGGGCACATTTTTAGATCATAGTCCCTAGTTATACATTCATGTGTGTCTAAAGACAGATGGTAAAAACAACACTTACCCTTACTGCGTGGGTGCATGCTGGCATTTTCTATTCTAATGTTAAAATAACACGGTTTTCCTTAGTGCCAGCCCTGTCTGTCATGAGTCCACCCTAATCTGAATTGACTGTGTAATATATCTTCTTGCTAGTGAAGTGTTAGGGCAGTGGTTCTCAAACTGTGGTCCGCAGGACCAGCTTCAGCTGCTGGGAATTTTTTAGAAATGCAGATTCCTCTCCATCACCCACTCTACCTCTACCTAGATGATTCTAAGGAAGCACTGGATGTGATTTTATCATTGTTTACTCTGATTGCATTTAGACATCCAAATATGTTAAGTTTTTTATGACTAATTCCTATATGTTAACAATAGACACTTTCAATATAAATTAATTACACTGACAACTGTATATCATATACATATTACTGAAAACTCGGCACTTGTCCTTGAGGCCGCGTCAGAAGAATGAGAACAAGTGTTTTGGGGAGAAAGAAAGAGAATTTTTATTGCTTCATTACCAGCAAAGGAGGAAAAATGGTAGACCTCCTTTGTTCAAAATCCAAATTTCCCAAACGTAGGCAGAAATACAGAGCTTTTAAAGGGAGGGCCCCTCAGTTCTAGGCTATTGAACTAGGCTATAGTGGTTAACTATTCTAATCGTCACATCTCTGCCAAAGACAAAGCCTGTGAACTCTGCCAGCCACCGACCTGGGGCCTGGCACCACCAGGATGGCTGAGTTATCTTTTAACAAGGGACTTAACCTGCCTCAGGGATGCAGGCCAGGCTGCAGTTCCCAAAAAGAGTGGGGGAAGTTTTAAAGAGACAGAAAATCTTTTTATTTTCCCTTTGGGCCTTTCCCTCTGTTAATACATATATGTGAATGTCAGTACACAAGCACACATACACACGCATGAATGCTCTGATGATTCCCAGTAAGGGGAAACAGACAGAAAACATGATATTTACAAATGTAATAATTTCTGATATTTTAATCAGGTCTATCTAACTTGAATAATTTTTTTTAAATCCTTAAGCTTTGAAGTATAACATCAAAAGTATTTAGGCCAGGCGCAGTGGCTCACGTCTGTAATCCTAGCTCTCTGGGAGGCTGAGGCGGGCGGATTGCTCAAGGTCAGGAGTTTGAAACCAGCCTGAGCAAGAGTTAGACACTGTCTCTACTATAAATAGAAAGAAATTAACTGGCCAACTAATATATATAGAAAAAATTAGCCAGGCATGGCGGTGCATGCCTATAGTCCCAGCTGCTCGGAAGGCTGAGGCAGAAGGATTGCTTGAGCCCAGGAGATTGAGGTCGCTGTGAGCTAGGCTGATGCCACGGCACTCACTCTAGTCTGGGCAACAGAGTGAGACTCTGTCTCAAAAAAAAAAACAAAAAAAACAAAGCATTTGAATTCTTTTGAACTGTAGAGTTCTCCCATAGCTTAATTAGGAAAGGAAGACTCAGATTGAATTTACAGCTAATTTTTAACGACTGCACAGGACTGCCTGGAGTAAGGTTTAGGGACCTGGATATTTTGGGACCCCTCCTTATATCCTTTTAGGGCAGGACGGACCCCAGTGTGGAGCCAGGTCAAAGTAGGGCTCTCCTGCTCTGCACCCTCAGGCAGGTGTATTCCTCCATGTGGAACCGGGATAAGGCTCCATCCAAAGAACTGAAGCCGTGGATGGCAGTTGTGTAAAATCAATAGCTGTGCCGGGCGTGGTGGCTCACGCTTGCAGTCCCAGTGCTTTGGGAAGCCAATGTGGGAGGATCGCCTGAGGCCAGGAGTTTAAGACCAGCCTGAGCAACATAATGAGACCCCCATCTCTACGAAAAATAGAAAAATTAGCTCGGCATGGTGCCATTCTCTTGTAGTCCCAGCTACTTGGAAGACTGAGACAGGGGGATTGCTCAAGCCCAGGAGTGTGAGGTTACAGTGAGCTATGATGACTCCATTGCACTCTAGCCAGGACAGTAGAGCAAGACCCTGTCTCAAAAAAAAAAAAAAAAAAGCAATAGCTGCATTGTAAGAGTTTATGTTTTGTTTTGTTTTGAAGGGTATGTTTTCAGAAGGACTCATGCATGGACAAGGGACTTATATTTGGGCCAATGGACTAAAATACGAGGTAAAGCATATAAGTTATAGTGGTAAGTTGTAACTATGAAATTTAAGGTCAGGTTCCCACAATTAAATATATTAACTCAGCACATGGATTTAAAAAAAAATTCACAGAACCAAAGGACATAGTAACTCGTGATTGCACGAGACCCGCTGGTAGTCGTTGTTACTGGTTTCATTTGTACGTTCTAGAGGTATTCTATGTGTTCTAAGTGTACATAGCACGTGTACATGTACTTGGCCCCTCTTACTTTTTACAAACATGAACAGTTAATGATACACTCTCCTTAGTACCTTTTTTTTAGAGATGGAACCATATCCATTCATCCAGATCTAACTATTTTTACTGGCTGTGTGTATTCCATAATGTGGATTTCACTTAACACATCTTGCTGTGTTGAGGGGAATGTGTATTTTTAAATTGATTGCTAGGACCGAATTGCTCCCTAGAGATTGTACCAGTTTCAACTCGCGCCCACAAAGTGTGTGAGGGCCTGAAATGCTATTCTAAAAATCTCGATTGCAGAGTTTCTGACAGATGGTATTTATAAATGGTAATGAAGACATTTAAAACACACGCACATAATGTACTTATTCAGATGGAAACAGAGGCGAGTTTGGGCCAGGAAGGAGCCAACTGGAGCTGGACAGTGGGAGGTGTGCGGCAGAGGGGCAGGGAGAGCGAGGGGGGGCTGGCCCTCACCACGAGGGTCAGGGGAATGGAACCGCCAAGGTCCAGGGAGCCCAAGGATCAGGTCCCAGCGGTGGTTGTGGGCCAGCCTTTCTGGAGGAACTCCGTTCCTGCAGAGTATTTTAGAGGTTCATGCATGAAATCAAATGACATTATCAGCACGTCCTTTCTTTCTATGGCTGAATAACACTCCACTGTTAGTATTTACCATGGTAAATTTATCCATTCATCTGTCGATGGACATTTGGGCTGTTTCCATCTATTGACTATTATGAATAGTGCCTTCTAGCCTGTGGCCAAAATTCAAGGTTTCTGGTCCCCAAATGCCGATTTGCCAGGAGTCCTCTCTGCTCCCTTGTGTCTGGAAACTCTAGGAGGGGGACATTTTTGCATGCACAGATCCCTGCACCAGCCCCGTCAGGAGGGTTGATAGGCAGGACTCTGGGGACTCTCCCAGAAGCACCACACGACCTGGCCAGCAGCCAAGCCAGGCTGCACTGTCTCCCCTCCTCCTGCTGACCGCTGCCTCCCGGAGTTCAGGCTCCTGGAGAATGCGACGGCTCTGGGCCATGGTGCGCCATACGTGGTTCCACGTGCTGCCCACTCGGCAGACGTCCTGAGCCGGCACAGAGCGAGCTGTTGGCTGACATGTCTGCAGAATATTTTGATGACCCACAGGCAGAAAGTAATCGTTTCCCATGGTGACCACCAAACCTGGCTAATCCTCAGGATCTCCTGGAGGGTACCATGAATTAGCCTCCTGGGAGGCTGAAGTTCCCAAGGTCAGGACTGGAAGCCACCACTTTACCATGTCCCCTGCTTGCTTCTTGGAGCTTAGTCTATAGGCGGGCGACCTTCAGATATTTTGTTCTGCCTGGGCTCCCGCCCAGTGGACAGCTCAGGCAAGAGCGGAGGGGAGATGCAGAGGAGGATGGAGACGGGGGGAGCGAGGGGTGTTCTGCTGTTTCCACGGAGGAGAGACAGGAATAGCGTCAGAGGTCATGAGGTGTCTCAAGCGGCCCCAGGATTGGGGATCCTTCCACTGCCTTCTTTCTGTCACCCTCTGGCCATTTTGCCCCAGGGGGAATTTGTGAAGAACATCCCCATGAACCACGGCATGTACACGTGGCCGGACGGCAGCATGTACGAAGGCGAAGTGATAAACGGCATGAGGAACGGCTTTGGCATGTTCAAGTGCAGCACCCAGCCTGTGTCCTACATCGGCCACTGGTGCCACGGCAGGAGACACGGGAAGGTAGGTGAGGCGACCACGCGGCAGGGGCCCACCCGTGACTGGAGGAGCAGGCTCGGAGGGCAGGGAGCGGGGCGCTGTTGAGGGTGTATTGGCTGTTTATTGAGGCGAAATTCACATCACACAGAATCTGCCATTTTAAAGCATACAGTTCAGTGGTCTTTAGTACATTCACAGCGTTGCATGGCCATCACCACTATCCCCCCAGATGTTCATCACTTCAAAATACAAGGCCATACCCATTAGGCAGGTGGGTCTGCTTTCTGTCTCTATGGGTTTAGCTATTCTGGACATTTTATGTAAATGGAATCTTGTAATATGTGACCTTTTATGTCTGTGTGCTTTCACTTAGCAGAGTATTTTAGAGGTTCATGCATGAAATCAAATGACGTTATCAGCACGTCCTTTCTTTCTATGGCTGAATAACACTCCACTGTTAGTATTTACCATGGTAAATTCATCCATTCATCTGTCGATGGACATTTGGGCTGTTTCCATCTATTGACTATTATGAGTAGTGCTGGTGTGAAAATATGTGTGCAAGGATTTATTTGAGCACTTGTTTTTAGTTCTTTGGGGTGTGTACCCAGAAGTGGAATTGCTGGGTCATGTGACAACTTTATGTTTTAACTTTTTGAGAAACCACCAAACTGTCTTCCCCGGTAGCTGCACCATTTTACATCCCTGCCAGCAATGCAGGGCATGTTCACTTTTAACCAAGGTGGCTATTTTTGGTAATTTTGTTTTGCTTTTGTGTAGGATGATAAAAAATATATTGTAGCAATTGTTAGAATTTTTTAAATGTGTGGTTTTTAGAAAATGTCATGAGAAAACCCTCCATTATGATCATCACTGGTTGAGCATCGACAGGCTAGAACCTGCCACTTGGTATCGTTACCAAATCTGCTACTATTACCTCCCTGAGGTCCAAGATGGCAAAGTATCACTTATGGGTTCTTAGACAACTGGGGACTCCTCTTTTCTATTTTTAAATAATTTGTGATTGCCTACCAAAATAAGATAAATGCCCTAGTTTATTTTCAAACCCACAAAACTATTAATAAACGGGTGGCGTTCGATGCAGTGTTTAGAAGCTCCACAGAAATCAGTGCCTCTGACTCAAGTAGTGCTCCAGGAAGAAGTGACGGACAAGGAGAGACAGAGCTGTAGCCAACCCTGAGAAACCTCTGAGATTCTGGCTCTGGAATTCTTTTCATCTGAGCAGCACAGAGAGTTCAATCCCAGCTCCTGTCTGCTTCTCCTGCAGAGACCTGGTCTGTGTGCTGATTTTCTCTTACAAGTGGGAACTACTGGACAGGAGGAAGCTGGAAGGAGAAGTCCTTCCTGGTCAGAGTCTCTGGAAGTCAGCCACAGGCCTCTGACAAACCTATGTGGATTCCCAAAGTCTGTGCATAAAAGAATATCTGCATTTCAGAGTTCGAAAGGGAATTAGAAATCCAGTCTAACCTTCCTCCTTGACAGATACTGGCCATGAGAGTTAGAAGAGCGTGAACTAGGCCACGTAGCCAAGCTGCCTTAGCACCCTGGTCTCCGCCCCCCGCGCCACCAACCGGGGGAGACTGCTCAGGCTTCACCACGATTGCCATAACCCTCCTGCTTTCCTCGGGCTTTAGCAGACTGTGTCACTGGCTCACAGCAGATCACTTGAGACACACTGGAGGGGCTGGGAATGGTGACTTCTAGATGGCAGCACTCAGATGGCTGCAAGAAGGAACAAGTTAGCCTGATGATGAGGGAGAAGATAGTGTGCACCTGTAGTCCCAGCTGCTCCAGGGGCTGGGAGAGGAGCAGCGCTTGAGCCCAGGAGTTTTTTTTTTTTTTTTTTTTGAGACAGAGTCTCGCTTTGTTGTCCAGGCTAGAGTGAGTGCCGTGGCGTCAGCCTAGCTCACAGCAACCTCAAACTCCTGGGCTTGAGCGATCCTTCTGCCTCAGCCTCCCGAGTAGCTGGGACTACAGGCATGCGCCACTATGCCCGGCTAATTTTTTTTTTTATATATATATATATCAGTTGGCCAATTAATTTCTTTCTATTTATAGTAGAGACGGGGTCTCGCTCTTGCTCAGGCTGGTTTTGAACTCCTGACCTTGAGCAATCCGCCCGCCTCGGCCTCCCAAGAGCTAGGATTACAGGCGTGAGCCACCGCGCCCGGCGAGCCCAGGAGTTTGAGGCTGCAGTGCGCTGACTGCGCCTGTGAACAGCCACTGCACTGCAGCCTGGGCAATATAGTGAGACCCTGTCTCTTAAAAAAAAAGGTTTTGGTACATAAGGAAAGTGACCTTCAGTTCATGGAAGGTGCAGCTGTTCACTCTAGGTGGCAACAAGATAGGATTTTTTTTTCAGTTTTTCTTATGGTTGATATTACAAAAAAAGAAAAAGACAGGACAGGATTTCTTTAGGCACTTATTCGACTAATAGTTACCAAATATAATGAATATAGTCATTCCTTGTATTAAAATGTTTTTAATTTTTAAAGTGTTTTGTGGAGACATACTCTCACTGTGTTGTTGCCCAGGCTGGTCTGGAACCCCTGGCTTCAAGCGATCCTCCCGTCTTGGCTTCTCAAAGTGCTGGGAATACAGATGTGAGCCTCTGTGTCCAGCCATGGCACTGGTTATTAAGGAGGAATTGACTTGTGACATGTCATTCTCCCTTGGTGTGGATGTTCTACCATTTTCTTGATTGCAGAACAGAAACATAACGGATTATATGTGTTGCCTAAGTGTGACGTTGACTTCTGCACAGTTAATACATATTCGTGTATTTTTATCTTTACAGTTAACAAAGCATTTGTGTCATGAGGCTTCCTTTTTAAAAATGATATTATTTGTTTTAGGGCTCCATTTATTATAATCAAGAGGGCACCTCTTGGTACGAGGGAGACTGGGTTTACAACATCAGAAGGGGCTGGGGAATAAGATGGTAGGTATGAGCACTGCCGCCTTTGGGTGAGGTGACAAAGTGTGCGTGGGCCCAAATAATGTTCACTTTGGCTGTTTAAAGATACAGTGCAGAAATTGCAGAGAACGTGTTTTTTCTTGAAGCAAAGTAGAATATTTAAATTAATCCCAATATAATCTCCATAGTGATTATTTCTATAGAAGATTTAGAAAAACACCCTGTTAAATGATATCTAATCATACTCTTTCAATTTATTTATTTATTATTTATTTATTTAGAGACAGAGTCTCGCTCTGTGGCCCAGGCTAAAGTGCAGTGGCATCATCATAGCTCTCTGCAACCTCAAACTCCTGGCCTCAAGCAATCCTCCTGCCTTGTCCTTGCAAAATGCTAGGATTACAGGCATAAGCGTCCTCACCTGGCCTGACTTTTATGTGTAGAAGGTTGCCTTCCTTTGTTTTGTTTTGTTTTCTTTTTGAGACAGAGTCTTACTCTGTTGCCCAGGCTAGAGTGCTGTGGCATCAGCCTAGCTCACAGCAACCTCAAATTCCTGGGCTCAAGCAGTCCTTCTGCCTCAGCCTCCCCAGTAGCTGGGACTACAGGCATGTGCCACCATGCCCAGCTAATTTTTTCTATATACTTTTAGTTGGCCAATTAATTTCTATTTTTAGTAGAGATGGGGTCTCGCTCTTGCTCAGGCTGGTTTTGAACTCCTGAGCTCAAACAATCCGCCCGCCTCAGCCTCCCAGAGTGTTAGGATTACAGGCGTGAGCCACCGCGTCCAGCTTTGTTTTCTATATTAATCATGGATCCTCCAGTATTGTATGCTTTCTGAAGAATGTTGACACATTTGCTTGATTTTAGATTGAACTGATAGAGTCAAATATTTTAAGGACTAAAACATTCGGGGGTAAAATATTAACTCATCATCATATGATAGGGAATTATTTTTAAAAGATCTTAAAACCCCAGTCTTATCCACATTGTCACCTTTTTTTTTTTTTTTTTTTTTTGAGACAGAGTCTCACTTTGTTGCCCAGGCTAGAGTGAGTGCCGTGGCATTAGCCTGGCTCACAGCAACCTCAATCTCCGGGGCTCAGTGATCCTACTGCCTCAGCCTCCCGAGTAGCTGGGACTACAGGCATGCACCACCATGCCCGGCTAATTTTTTTGTATATATATTTTCAGTTGGTCAATTAATTTATTTCTATTTTTGGTAGAGACGAGGTCTCGCTCAGGCTGGTTTCGAACTCCTGACCTTGAGCAATCCGCCCGCCTCGGCCTCCCAAAGTGCTAGGATTACAGGCGTGAGCCACCACGCCCGGCCTGTCACCTTATTAAATAACCAGGAGGTTTAATCAAGTGATTTATTCTGCTCCCTACGATAATTATTTTTAACCTACCATGGGCCTACCCATTGAATTTAAATCCAGGCCAGAGTATGGGTACAAGGGTTGGATTTCTTCAAAGGTGGGGGTGGGGTACAGAGTTTGAAAGAAAGTCTTGAAGGTAAATATTGTGTATGATGTAACCGATTGTTTTCCATTGCTTTCTTTTGTCCTAGTTACAAATCTGGAAATATATATGAAGGCCAGTGGGAAGACAACATGCGCCACGGGGAAGGGAGGATGAGGTGGCTGACAACCAATGAGGAGTACACCGGCCGGTGGGAGAGGGGGGTCCAGGTACACGCCGGCCAATTTCAGCTGCTCATTCCCAGACGAGGATGCTCCGCTATCCTCAGCACATGTGTTACTTGGAATGATATCATACAGTAATCTGAAATTTACGCTCTGCTAAATTTAGAAACTCAAATTGCCATGTACTGGTCTCAACCGTACTTTTATGTCATGGTTTTATCGCTTAGTCTTCTCTAATGGTCTCCCACACAAGCTAGATCCCTCATATAAATGGAATCATGAGTATTTATCCTTTTGTGACTGGCTTATTTCACTCAGCATAATGTCCTCAAGATCCACCTATGTTATAGCATGTGTCAGGACTTCTTTCTGTTTTAAAGCTGAATTATATTCTATTGCATGGATATACCACATTTTGTTTATCCATTCATCTGTCCACGGACACTTTGGTTGCTGCTGCCTTTTGGCTATTGCAAATGATGCTGCTATGAACATGGTGTACAAATATCTGTTTGAGCCACTTTCAATTCTTTTGGGAATAACATTCCCCAAAGTTACAGACATTATCTTATTGTTGAAGAAATTGTATATGTATTTTTATATACCTATAATGTTTATTTATTTATTTATTAGAACAGGGTCTTGCTTTGTCACCCAGAGTGGAGTAGTGCAGTGGAATGATCATACCTCACTGAAACCTTGAACCTCCTGGGCTCAAGTGATCCTCCTACCTCAGCCTCCTGAATAGCTGAGACCATAGGCATGCACCATCACGCCAGCAAATTTTTAAAATTTTTTGTAGAGATGGGGTCCCACTGTGTTGCTCAGGCTGGTCTCAAACTCCTAGCCTCAAGCAATTCTTTTCTCTTAGCCTCCCAAGGTGCTGGGATTACAAGCACAAGCCACCTTACCTAATCAACATGTTTATTTATTTTTATTTAAAAAAATTTTTTGAGACAGAGTCTTGCTCTGTCACCCAGGCTGGAGGGCAATGGCCAGGTCATAGCTCTCTGCAGCCACCAACGCCTGAGCTCAAGTGACCCTCCTGCCTCAGCTTCCTGAGTAGCTGTGACTACAGGCTCACATCAGCATGCCTGGCTAATTTTTCTATTTTTTTGTAGAGACAGGATCTCATTATGTCGTCCAGGCTAGTCTCCCAAGTGATCCTCCTGCCTCAGCCTCCCAAAGTGCTGGGATCACAAGCATGAGCTGCCGTGCCCGGTTATCTTTGCTATTCTTGAATTCACAATAATATGCACAGGGGTCAGTTTTGCCTTATCTCTGCCCTTTGGCCTCTAGGAGTCTTCTCAGTCTGAGGTTTTTCATCTCTTTTTAATTCTGGGAAATTAATCTCCACTGTGACTTCAAATATCACCTTCTCTCCATGTTTTTCCCGTCTTTCTGACTCCTATTACCTGGTCATTAACAATTCTATCTCAGTCCTCTGTGATTCTTAACTTTTAAAAAATATTTTTAATGTCTTTATCTTTTCCTTCCTTTCTATAAGAATTTCTCTAATTGATCTTTCACTTTCACTAATTCTCTTGTTAGCTGTATCAACTTATTCTGTTTATTCTATTCTGTATGTCAATTATTGCATTTTTCATCCCAGTCTTTCCACATGACTCTTCTGTAAGGTGTCTTCCAACATGTGGTTTAATATGTATATTGTATGTGTTTAGGGAAAATACAGGTGAATTCTCAAACCTAATTAGTGGTTACTTTTGGAAAGTGGGGTTGAGGAGGGGTTACTTCGTATCAGTCTGTGTATTAAAAAATTAAAAATAATTAAAATAATCATTATTGAGTTAAGCAAGTTGTATAAACTATCTTCAGTCTTTATATCCAAGTTTCAGAATAGGTGTTATTTCTGTTTTATAACTGAAGAACTTAGAGTGCTTAAATAATTTTCCTTAGATTAAAAGACTGGTTAGTAAATATCTGAGCTGAGATCGAACCCAAGTCTATGTGACTCTAAAATCTATGTTCTTCGCCTCTTCAAATTATCATTGTATTTGTACTAATTTTAGGTGGATCTAAGTAAAAAGAGGAACTATTTTGAGCATTTCTGATGGCAGTTTGGTTCGTTACAGAATGGTTTTGGAACACACACATGGTTTCTAAAGAGAATCCCCAACTCCCAGTATCCTTTGAGAAATGAATATGTAGGAGAGTTCGTAAATGGCTATCGTCACGGACACGGAAGGTTTTACTACGCCAGTGGAGCCATGTATGAGGGAGAATGGGTTTCCAATAAAAAACATGGCATGGTGAGTATAAATCTGTGAAGATTACGTTTTAAAGATTATGTAAAGCAATTGAAATATATCATTATCTAGTAAATTGCATTATCCACTGTGCATAGGATAACTTACTGTTTTGTTTAGGTGATTACATGAATTTTAAAATATTTCCAACATAGCACTGATTTCCTGTACATTTAGTGGTTATTTATTTAATTTGTTTTTATTAGTATGTGCGAGGGTGGTTTGGGTTGCATGTAAGACAATCTTACCTAATCTGCATTTATAATAAATAATAATGTGGGCTTCAGGGTTGGTTTGATTCAGTGATGTCACGATTTCTCTTCCATCTACACGATATCTCATCTCCCACCATGTCAGTTTCATCCTTATCCTGTCCTTCCCTCATGACTCCAAGACAGCTGCTATGGTTCCAGGTTTCACATCCGCATACCACACTAGCCAGAAGAGAAAAAATGCTTTGTCCCAGAAGCTCTCTACAAATATCTTTTGTTTCAGAGCTGAACTGAGTCATTTAGCTACCTCTAAATCAGTAACTGACTATTGGCCTGGCTTTGACAAATATTAATACCAGGAGAGTCCCTATTGTGTGCTTGGGCACTCCACTGGTCACTATCAATGTTTAATAGGACATATTCTGTGATCTAGAGGTGCTTAAAGTTGAGGAGAGGTTGTGGGGCAGATAGAGAGGAGAAGAGGAAGAGGAGGAGGAGCTGGAGGAGAGAGGATTTATGCAGCGATCTGAGACTCTAGGTGCCTGATTGTATGTGGACTAAGCGTGGATCTTCAAAACAAACACAAAGCTCCAAACCCTTGAAAAAGGTATTGATGTACATTTACCAATATTTTTCTATAATAAGAAAGTAAGCTGCAAAAAGTAATTTTTCTATCTGCAGGGCCGATTAACTTTTAAGAATGGGCGTGTGTATGAAGGTCCGTTTTCCAATGACCACATAGCAGAGTATCCAGATCTCGAAGTTGAATTCCTAAATTACCTGGACCTGTGTTCGGAAGTTTCCCAAAGGGAAAGGCCACACAGACCTTCCATGAATGCTGGTAGGGAGCGTTCACCTGTCAGTTGAAAACAAGTTAGTCTGTTTTTATCTGTGGAGTCCACGGATGAAAATACTTTTGAAAACAAAATACTAATACTTCAGAAAATAGAAGTTTCCTGTGAATAGTTGCTTTCTTAGTAGGTTTTTTTGAATATTCTTATATCACACTTTGGTGGAAAACCATTTTGCTATAACACTGAAAAAATGTTAACATTGCATTTCATAATCGCCACCTATGTTTGCTTCATTTGCTAGAAATCATCAGGAAGCTCGATGGTAGTGAGAGCCATTCTGTGCTGGGATCGAGCATCGAGCTGAATCTAAACCTCTTGCTGGACATGTACCCTAAGGAAGAGCAACCAGAAGAAAAAAGGCAGGTAAAAACCTTTCTGTCGTTATAAACGTAGTCCTGGGAAAATGCAGCTGGTGGCGGCCACCACGTACTGAGTGTCTGTTATATGCCTGATAGATGCTCTACATGTATTACCCCATTTACGAGCGAGCAGGCTTTATGAGCAAACAGAAGCCAGGGCAGAGGGACACGGTGAATGACCCAGAGCGTCAGAGCCCACCCGGGTCCCACCAGCCACACTCAGACGGGTCTGTGGCCACCTCCTTCTGTGACACATTCACTTTGCTTTGCATTATGTGGACTGCTAGCGTTCAAAAGAACTTCAAGCCCTTAGAAATCATTAGAAATCTAGAAATTCTTAAAGAAAATTTCGTGTACTTGAACTTCATTTGATTAGCATCTGGCAAATTACAGCCACCAAACTACCTTTTTTTTTTTTTTTTTTTGAGACAGAGTCTCACTCTGTTGCCCGGTCTAGAGTGCCATGGCATCAGTATAGATCACAGCAACCTGAAATTCCTAGGCTCAAACAATCCTTCTGCCTCAGCCTCCTGAGTACCTGGGACTACAGGCATGCGCCATCATGCCCGGCTAATTTTTTCTATATATTTTTAGTAGTCCAGCTAATTTCTTTCTATTTTTTAGTAGAGACGGGGTCTCGCTCTTGCTCAGGCTGGTCTTGAACTCCTACCCCTCGAGTGATCCTCCTGCCTCGGCCTCCCAGAGTGTGAGGATTACAGGCGTGAGCCACTGTGCCAGGCCCCAAACTACATTTTAGTATGAAGGCTCCTGCTTTGACCGGGAGTTAGAATGATTCTTTGGTGAAACCGTTGCTGAGGTGGTGTTTCCTGTAAGAGAACCATGGGTACCCGGAACTGCAAAGCATCCTTGCCCGCTTCTGCTCCTTGTTGCTGCCTCACTGCCTCGCCTGTGCCCAGGCTGGCCTCAGCTCTTTGGGCCTCAAAAGTGATGACCCTCTCCACCCCCATCCTCCTATTTCCTGCCTCTGGGCCAACGCTGTAATTCAGGCTTTCACTATCACTCACTTCTGTTGCAAGATTCTTATTAAAAATAGGAATCTTTATTACTTTCTCTAATTACAAAAGTAGTACATGATACTTGCAGAAAATACCAATAAGGAAAAGTAAAACAGAATCTCCACCCAGTCAGAATCTTGTGATTGTCTTTCTAGATTTTCACTCTGCAGACATATATAGAAGTGGGATCACAGTGTTCATATCATCTCTATTTTCATGTAGGATTTAATGATAGCTATTCAGTGCCATTAAGTATTCTCCTACAATATAATTTTAGATGAAAAAACATATTGATTTACCAAAAAAGGAAGGATCATATTGTTTCTATTATTTCCCCTCCACCCCCCTAAATTATATATATCATTCATTTTCTAGTTTGGAGTTCTTTCTATTTCAAAACATGTGGGTCTTATAAAAATTATGTATTTTAAAAATATATTTTGACTGTCTTATAATTACAAAAGTAACACATGCTCTTATAAAAAAATCCAAACATTATAGAAATATGAGACACAGAAAGTGAAAGAATTCTGTAATTCCACACTTTACAAATACTTCTAAACATTTTAGATGACTGTACAATATTTCATTATATGGAAATAAGGCAATTTAGTTAGCAAATATAAGGTTTTTTTTTTTTTACTTTTTATTTTGAGATGATTTCAGACTTACAGAAAGAATTACAAAAATCATAGTTTTGGGGAGAGGGGGAATCATAGAGTTTCCATCTACCTTTCACCCAGCTTCCCCAGTGGTAACGTTGTATATAACCATGGTACGCTCATCAGACCTGAGCAGTTAACCTTGCTACGCTAGTAATTAAACCACAGCCCTTGCTTGAATTTGGCCACTTTTTCTCCTGATGCCCTTTTGGGTGCCATGATCTGACCCAGGATCCTACTCTGCATTTAGCGTCTGTCTCCTTAGCTTCCCCCCCGCCTGGAGCTGCTTCTCCACCTTTGACTGCCCTTCATGCTCTGAGACTTTTGAAGAGCACTGGTCAGCTATTTTGCAGAATGTCCCTCCATCTGGGTTTATTGGATGTTTTCTAATGATTATTTGTATTTATTATCTGTTACTGGCATCATCCTGACAAAATGTGGGTATCTTTTTTTGAGCCAGAGGCTCCAGATTATTCTAGTTTCAGCCAGAACAAAACTCAGGCAAGCACGCGGTGGTCTTCTAAGCCTCTGAGCTCTCCTTTCTCATCCTCGCGGTTGCCTCTGCAGTAGGTTCCATGTACCTAGTTGGTATTAAGGGCCTGCTGTGATCCAGCGTCCACCGATCTTTCCAGCCTTTATCGGTTCTCCTCCTCACTGGGAACTCACAAGGCAACAACACGAACATGGTGGCACTCTGCTCTGGGCCTGGTTCCAGATACCTTTAATTCGCTGCATTCCTCTGGGGCAGGTGCTGTGGGTATCCCACATTGCACAGGAGGGACTGAGGCAGAGAGAGATGACAGCTTTGCTCCAGGGCATGTAGCCCTACTAGCATTGTGGGAACAGCACACCCCGGCCACCCCCCAGGTCCAGCTTCCCCTCAGTGCCTGCTCTCCATGGAGTCCTGCGCGTTTTCCCACTCTCCCTGGCTCGGTTCAAGTGCAGTGTCCTCTAGGAAGCTGCTTATTTAGAATCCATCTCTCCTTTCCCCATGGCTCTGTCTTAGCGATGATACTTCCTTATTGTGTGTATATGTCTTATCTTCTTCACTATATTTTAAGCTCCATGAAGACAAATTCTATGTTGTGCTCTAGAACAATGCTTTTTTTTTTTGGAGACAGAGTCTTACTCTGTTTCTCAGGCTAGAGTGCCGTGGCGTCAGCCCCACTCACAGCAACTTCAAACTCCTGGGGTCAAGCAATCCTGGTGCCACAGCCTCCCAAGTAGCTGGGACTACAGGCATGTGCCACCATGCCCGGCTAATTTTTTCTACATATATTAGTTGGCCAATTAATTTCTTTCTACTTATAGTAGAGACGGGGTCTCCCTCTTGCTCAGGCTGGTCTCCAACTCCTGACCTTGAGCAATCTGCCTGCCTTGGCCTTCCAGAGTGCTAGGATTACAGGCGTGAGCCACCGTGCCAGGCCTAGAACGATGCTTTTGATTGGGAAGACTATACATGTTTATACAATTGAATTGAATTTTTAAATTCAGTAATTAATACTGAGAGCATCAGATGCTGCCCAGCTAGGGCTTTTCTGCCTCCCTGGGGACCCTAAATACTGTTCTTTGCATTCTCTGAATGTTTCATTTATGCGGGTGAAGCATGGGGTGAGTGGTTTTGGAGCCCAGAACAGCGTTCAGGCTGCAGGGCTGCATGTGAGGGGAATCTGGGGCAGTGTAAGCTCTCCAGGGGCCTGGAGAAAACACCAGAAAGTGAAAGGGACAGAGAGGGAGGTTAGAAAGCAATCAGTGTGAGTATTTAATATTTCAGACTTTCAGCCATAAGTATGATGTTAGCTGCGTGGCTTCTGTACGTGCCATTTACCATGTTAAGAAGCCTCTTTCTATTCCTATTTGCTCATGGGGTTTATCACAAATGGATATTAAATTCTGTCAGATGTGTCAATTGCTATGATTATGCGGTTCTTTTTTGGATTATCAATATGGTGAATTACACTGATTGATTTTTCAAATATCAAACCAACTTTGCAATCCCAGGACAAAACCCCACTTGGTATTCATATATTATTCTTTTTATGTGTTGCTGGACTGCTGGATGATCCAGCTTATTTTGTAAAGGATTTTTGGATATATGTTTACGAGGGGTGTTAATCTGTAGACAGCACAATTTTACTGCGGCCCTCGAGATGGCGCCCTGCGGCTGCCATCCCACAGCGGCATCAGAAGAATTCCATTTTCCAGATAACAACATATTTATTTACTATTGGTCACAACTTGCATTCTAAGGACCTGGCAGAAGGAAACATCTGTTGTGCTCTTACGTAAAAGGTAAATGCCGTTACTTTACATGTGTTATTTAATTTAGAAAACAGGTGTTGTATCTTTTATATCTGTAGTTCTTATACAGGATTAAGATATGCACAATTACTTCTTTTCAGGCAGAATATGCTATCTTGAGAAATATTACAGAATTACGAAGAATCTATAGCTTTTATAGCAGCCTAGGATGTGATCACTCTCTGGATAACACCTTTCTGATGACAAAGCTTCACTTCTGGAGATTTCTAAAAGATTGCAAATTTCATCACCACAAAATAACTCTTGCTGATATGGACAGGATATTAAGCAGTGAGTATTCTAGGTCCTTCACCTCTTATGGCTTAAAGGGCAGTATAACATCCTATCACCTGGAGACCAGTTAAGAGATGTTGAGGGACTGGGAAGGCAAACGCTGGGAGAAGTGTTCCAGAAACCAGCATATGGTCTTGTTCTCAAGGTGCTTGCGTTGTACTTAAAGAGACAATCTTGTGAAGTAACAGCAACAGTTCAAGACCGTGTATAGCAGGGATCAGCAGGGTATAGCCTGTGGGCCAGATCCAGCCTCGGTCAATCTGTTCTTGTAAACAGAGCTTTACTGGAACACACCACCATGCCTGTTTATTACGTATTGTCTGTGGCTGCTTTTGCCCCACAACACCAGCGCCCAGCGACTGTGACAGAGACTGTCTGGACCACCAAGCCTAATATAGTTAACATCGAGCCCATCACAGAAAAGTTTGCTTACCTCCTCCCACTGCCTTCTACAGTAAAAAAAAAAGCACTAAACTGTCAGGTCAGAAGGAGGGAGGATCAGCAAGGGCTTGGAATATAGTCTAGAAAAGGCTCTAGGTAGTCTTAGGATTGGTCTTGATTTCAAGTTAGAAAGTTCATGTGATAAATTCAGCTTTGAAGGTTTTACTCCTTTCAGCTGAATTCTGAGAGGTAGAACTTAAAAGCCTCAAATTATCTACTTGAAAAATAAAATCCTAAGTGTTTGAAAAATACAAAAAAATCCACTTAGAATTAGCAGCATGAATCAAATTGTGGCTCAGAGTACTCTGAAAAACATCGGGACAAGGTATCTTACAAGTTGTTCATATAGTAACCAGACAGAGATCTTTCACCTGGGACTTAATTTTTACCTGGATGTTTATGTATGTATTCTCAAGGAAGTAAGTACTCCATTGTATTCAGTTCTTTGAATTGTGTACCCAGAGCAAACCAAATAGAAGGCTCCAAGAAAATACTAGGCATCCTCTCCATTTTCTTATTTTAGCCCATAAGGACATACCAGTTGAGGACATTCATTCTCCATTTACAACGATACTTCTGAGAACATTTCTGAACTATCTCCTCCAGTTGGCCTACCACATTCACCATAGAGAGTTCCAGTAAGTACCACCGTAAGGAGGGAGAAGGGGCAGAGCTAACCTGGACTACAGTTATCATGTTGTCCTCTTTTCTTCGACAGTCATCATTTTTTTACATAGTCTTGAAATAAAGGACAAAAACCAAAACTTTTCTGCAAATATTAACCACCAAAGCTATGAGATACCAGACTAAAACTTTGAAAACCCTTTCTCTCTGAGTTGTTTCAATATTGCAGATACCTCTTGGGGTTTAATTTAGAAATAAACCTACTCTTCCTTTTTAGGTCAGAATTCCCTGTTTGTTTTAGAGCAAAATAATATTGTATCTTATTTATTTATTTATTTATACATACATACATACATAGTCTTGCTTTGTTGCCCAGGCTAGAGTGAGTGCTATGGCGTCAGCCTAGCTCACAGCAACCTCAATCTCCTGGGCTCAAGCAATCCTTCTGCCTCAGCCTCCCCAGTAGCTGGGACTACAGGCATACACCACCATGCCCAGCTAATTTTTTCTGTATATATTAGTTGGCCAATTAATTTGTTTCTATTTTTAGTAGAGACGGGGTCTTGCTCTTGCTCAGGCTGGTTTGGAACTCCTAACCTTGAGCTATCTGCCCGCCTCGGCCTCCCGGAGTGCTAGGATTACAGGCGTGAGCCACCGCGCCCAGCCTATTATATCTTTTTTAAAACAAAACTTTTTGTTTTGAAATAATTTTAGATTTATAGAAGCATTGCCAAGTGAATTAGTACCTATAGCCTTCACCCAAATTCTCTGAATGTTAACCTCTTACATAACCATGGAATGTTTATCAAAAGTAAAGAGTATGGGACTGCAAATTAGTGCAACCTTTGTGGAAAAGAATTTGGAGATATCTCAAAGAGCTAAAAATAGAAATATACCATTCCACCCAGCAATAGCATTATTAGGCATCTACCCAAAAGAGCATAAGACATTCTATTATAAAGACATCTGCACCTGAATGTTTATGGCAGCACAATTCACTGTTGCAAGGACGTGGAAACAACCCAAGTGTCCGTCAATTCGTGAGTGGATTATTAAAATTTGGTATATGTTTACAATGGAATATTACTCAATTCTAAGAAACGACAGCAAGCTAGCACCGCTTATATTATCCTGGATTGAGTTTAAGCCCATTATCCAAAGTGAGGTGACACAAGATCAGAGTAATGGGCTCCACACGTACTCGCCATCAAATTGGTACTGACTGATTAACACTGTGGTGCTCAAAGGGTGGTGGTGTTCACCAGGGATTGTAGGGGTAGTCCCACATCTGGGGGATGTGGTGAACATTGTGGAGGGGAAGGGCATACCTCTCACCCTTGCTAGGGAGAGGCAAAGATATCAAATGTAACCAAATGTTAAGAAAAAAAGAAAAACAAACATTTGCCAGGTGTAGGGCAGGTGGGAGGGGGAGGAGGGATGGGTACATACATACGTAGTGAGTGTGACGTGCACCGTCTGAGAGATGGACACACTTGAAGCTCTGACTCCAGCGGGAGGGGAGACAAGGGCAATGTGTGTAACCTTAACGTCTGTACCCCCATAATATGCTGAAATAAAAAAAATACACAGCTATAAACTGCACTATAAACATGGCTATAACTGCACTGACTAAATTACAGAAGTTATTATGGTTTCCCCAGTCTTTCACTGATGTCCCGTACCTGTTCCCAGTTCCAGGATCCTACATGGCACTTTGCTGTCATGTCTTCTGAGTCTCCTCCAATCTGTGATAGTTTCTCAGACTTTGTCATTTGTGACCTTGACACTTCAAAAAATACTGGCTAGTTATTTTGTAAAATGTCCCCTGATCTTGGCTTGCTGATGTTTTCTTATGACGACACTGAGGTTGTGGGTTTCAGGGAAGAATGCTGTGGAGGTGAGCTGGCCTTCTCATCATACTGTATAGGGTGCCCGATGTCACTGTGTTTTATTACTGGTGATGTTTTTGTACTGTAAACGTACTATTTTTCCCTTTCTATACTTTATTCATTAGAAGCAAATTATTTAAGTGTAGCCCACACGCAAGGGGAGGGGAATTAAGTTCCAGCTCCTGGAGAGAGAAGGGGGGTAATTACAATCTCTTTTTAATCACAGGAATAGAAGCCCATCGCTTTTTTTGTGTTTTACAAAACTGATGACTGAGAACATTCATCCAAATGCCTGCCATGTAAAAGGTAAATACAAAAACAACAGGATTATATTTACCACCGCTTTTTTCAAAATATAAACGTGTAATCATTTCTTGAATGTTGTATTTTTAGGCACCTTATTCCGTGAGCCACAGCGGACGCTCTATTCGATGAATTACGTTGATAAGTGCTGGGAGATCTATCTCACTTACTGCAGACCGCACACAGCTCCGCCCTACGAGCTAACGATGAAGATGAGACACTTCCTCTGGATGTTGAAAGTATTCAATTAAGTTTGATACTGGTTTTACATTTATAGGCATTTTGATTTTAAAGAAAGGCAAGATATTCTAGCTATGATATACAAATAATGAGGTGGAAATCTGGGGTGAATTTTCATGGCCATTGAGTCTTTTCTGGCAGAAGAGAGTGATTCAAATGGTCCGTGATGGTGGAAGGAACAGAAATGGGGTCACCTGCCTAATGTGCTCACACTTAAGGGGGAGGGGCGGTCCATTAGCTATGGTATTGTTACTCCTGCACACCTGGGCATTTAAAGGAAGATGAGGGAACATTTATTCTTTTATAGAATGAAGTATTTCCCAATCCTAAAATCACAGTAAAGCCAACTGAAATATTTCAAAAAAAAATAAGGGAAGGAAGGAAGATGGGAGGATGAATGTCATTTTAAAAAATAATTGTTCATTAAAGTAATTTTTAAAAATTCATCTGGAAAATAGTAACATCAGCTTATTTATACAGTGGTAGTTTTTTGTTCTATGATACTTTTGATTTATGCTTGTAGGAATACAAATGATGAAACTAGAAGAATCGAATACTAATGACAGAGTGCTTTATAAAATTTAACACTGTTGCATACATATGAATAAGAGACAAAAACCTAGTGCCTAACTATAGGAAAATAGTTTAAAAGTATGTGATTTGGGGGGATGGAATATTATACAGCTGTTTATTTGTTCACCTTCATGGTCATTTATTACAGAAGAAACTATGTCATCTGTCCCTGCAGGGTGGGTCAGCCACCTGAGTTTGGCTGACTGCATCCTCGTGGTGGTGTTTAACATGCTCTTCTTTCCCCCACATTTCCAGTAACAGTCAGAGTTAGGGGCTTGACTAGAATCAAGTGTTTTGTTTCCAATACAGCCACAGTGGTCAGTGCTAATGACCATTATTTCACCAGAGATTGCACAATGGTAACTTTCTTATTCTGTCATTTCTTCTGCATTTATTAGCTGTGAATCTTAAAGAACTTTACTTGTATTCATCAGATATTTGAGTATTCTGAAATACAGTCCATAGAGGATAAATGTTTTATGTTTCCATTTATTTTCAGAATAAGTTGATATCCTAGCAATTCTTCAAAAGTGACTAATGAACTTTAAAAATATTATTAATGACTGGATTTATATAATTTGATGTGTTTCAATCCACTGTAGTCATTTTTATTTTTTTGAGACAAGATCTCACTCTGTCGCCTAGGCTAGAGTATAGTGGCATCATCATAGCTCACTGTAACCTCAAACTCCTGGGCTCAAGTGAGCCTCCTGGCTCAGCCTCCTAAGGAACTGGGTCTATAGGTGCACACCACCATGCCCTGCTAATTTTTCTATTTTTTTTAGAAATGGGTGTCTTGCTGTGTTGCTCAGGCTGGTCTTGAACTCCTGACCTCCAAGCCCATAGAGTTGTGTTAATATTTCACACCTGGATTATCTACTCCCCCATTTTCTATGTCCTGTGCTTATGCTAATAAAAACTTTACTAATAGAGGAACTAGGGGAGAGATAGAGGTAAATACCAATATAAATTCAGAATGCTTTTCAAAACTATCATTTCTTAAGATATTAATTTTTGGTACATTTTCTTAAATTGTTGTATTGACATAAATTGATATTAAAATATATAGGCTGGGTGTGGTGGCTCACACCTGTAACTGAGGTGGGAGACTTGCGTGAGCCAGGTATATATAGCTGTTTGTAATTATAGACAGTTATGGTTTGGTTGGTTCTTTCTTTTACAGGATTTTAAAATGATAAATAAAGAATTAACACCAACCAAATTTGTGGAGGTAATAGCAGAGGATAATCCTTTCATATCTGATGGAATTGACAGCAACTTTGAACCTGAGGTTTGTAGAGTCCTCACAAATGGTACAGATTTGATTTAGGTTGTTTGTTTTGCCAATGAAAATAATCTGAACCCAGATACATAAAACTATATATTCTTAATTGCATTAGAAAGTAAAGGTTAATGTTAAAAAGAAGGATATTTCAGATGTCAGGAAATAAAGATCAATAAGAAATGAACATCCAAATCAATCACTGGTCCACCCCCAGGTGTATCAGGGTGAATGAGACCTTCTGTGTTTTCTTGTATTTCAGTTGGTTTTCCTGGAATTCTTTGAAGCCCTCTTAAGTTTTGCACTCATCTGGGTTCCTGACCAAAAGACCAAATTGGGTAGGAGTGCTCCAAAGGATGATTTTCCTGGAAACAAATTTTCAAATATTTTTACAGGAGCAAATCAGGTAACAAATATCTTAGGATTTACAGAGCAAGAAATGGTTTTATTCTTGAATGGTTACGTGTTCATCAAAACTATCTTGGGCTTTTGTAACCTTTCAGGAAGTAATTTAAAGCTTTGGAAATAATTTGTCATTTCACATTTTGAAAGGAATGCACTGGTGTTTTTTCTTTTTTAAGTCAGGGAAAATGTGTTTCCTGGCCATGGCCCACAAAGTAGAGTCCTGGCCACAGTAGTAGAGATACCATGATGAAGGCGGGGGTGCATACCGCCATGCTGGGTGGACCAACTAGATCAGATTAGATAACCCGAGGTATTTTATTATGAAATGTTTTATGTATCTAGCATTGTGAGGGTGGACAGCCTTTCCCAGAGCAAATTTTTCAAGGAACAGTTTCTGAATGCACACGAGATGCTAAACAAGTCCCTGAGGACAGGGCTTGCTCACAAAGATGGACACTCCAGGCTTCACTGAGACCCTGGCAGAGCAGGTACGGTGTTGGCAATTTATAAAAGATCCAGCCGCTGGGTTAAATTGAGACAAATCAACTTTCCGTGGGGGTTTCAGTTTGGTGGGCTACAAGGATTTCTGGGTTTCGAGAGAGGTGCATTTGGAGCCATGAGAGAGAGTCTTAGGGCCCCAGTGAGCCCTAACAGCTGGGGAACTCTTCAGAGCTGTGCATGTGAGCAACCTTCTCACTGTTGTCCAAGGAGCATCTCTTACGGTAGATCCCATGGACAGGCCTTGGATTCCTTGTGGGGAAGTTGGGGACTTCCTGTTCAACCTCAGCACCTCACTGCCCACCACACCAGTCAGATATGCCTCCTCTTGGTTGAGGAAATGACTGATGGTTTCTCCAAGTCACCTGGGAGCCTGGTTATGGGCCACAGGCTACTCTGAGGGAAATAAATCATCCATGATTTCATGGATGGTGTGTCACTGTGGGTTTCAACAACATGAGTGTGAATGTGCTGACCCAGGGAACATCCTCAGAAACTGTCCAAGTTTATTCTCGGTCTTTAACCACTTTGGTACGAGCATCGACTATAGTCGATAGCCACAGATGAAGGTGCACAGCCGAGTGTCGACTTTAGCTGACAGTCATGATACGACTTTTCTAATTTTTCATTTATCAAAATAAAATTGTGAACATTTAAAAATAATATAATGAAAACATATGTTACCCATTCTGATTTACAAGTTAAGCTGCCTGTAAAGTAAAACAAGCTTTCAGTGCTTTCAAGCTTTCCTTGTCACACAAGAGCAAAATGGATTCGTCGTCAATGCACAGCACAAACTATCGTGCGGACTATGAGTGCCAGCTGTGGGCAAGGTTTTGCGGCTGGTGAGCACCGTACCGAAGTGGTGAATATGGCATTCTGGTGGCTTCTGTGCTCTTTTTGTAGCCTCTGATACTACTTTGGTCCAGGGGTCAGTTCCTGCCATCTTTCGTTGGAAAATGGATGTTCATGTCATTCTCCAAGTGAATCACTGCTCCCTTGTGGCCATTTTTTTGGTGCAGTTTTTAGAGTTCACAGAGATGCTCAGCTCATAGCAATTTCACATATTCCAGGATTCCGGGGAAGTAAAGGTAGAATTTTTTCCAGAGAGGAAAGAGCACCCCAGAGACATGCAGAAGGCTCCTTGAATTGTCAGCTGCGTGCACTGAGGTATGCAGGCTCATGAGGGAACCACTAGAGGCAAGAAAAGAACCACCAGAAAGAAGTGGAATCATCCTTAGGATTCACACAGGGCTGGAATAGTTTACATTCCCAGTGGCTGGAATGGAGAATCCTTGCGATGAGTAACGGGCATCGGGCTGAATACTGGACAGCGTACTGATGCAGCATGTAGGTCCCAGGTTAAAAGCTGTTCTGGCCTCCCCAACAAAGCTTAAAAAGACTCAAAAGGATCAAACTATTTCCAAGTAACTTAGAACAAAGCAAAAAACAAACAAACAAACAAAAACTTAAAGGGATGCTAAACATTTCCAGCATTCAACAATGTAACATTCAGAATTATAGCATCTAATGATAACACCAGGCATGTAAGGAAGGAGTGAGTCTGACCTGTAATGAGAAGGCACGGTCAGCAAAAGCACATCCAGAAATGACACACATGATAGGACAAGTATGTTCAAGGACGCAGAGGAAAGCACGAACATGCTAAGCAGAGCTGTTACTGATGAAAAACACTCTCGATGGAATAAACAACAGATTAGACTCTACAAAAGAAAAGATTAAACTTGAAGACACAACAATAGAAACTAAAGCACACAGGGAAGAAAAGGCTGGGAAAAAATAATCAGTATCCACAGCCTGCGATACCTTAAGCAGCCCTAATATGTGTGTAATTCACATCCCAGAAGAGAGGAAACAAAAAATTATTTGAAGAAATAATGGCTGAAAAATTTCCAAAGTTTATGAAAACTATAGATCCACAGATACCATAGCAGAAGCTCAACAAATCCCAACAAAAGAAATACAAAGAAGACTGTATCGAGGAACATTATAACCAAAGTTGCTGTAAACCAGTGATAAGGAGAAGATCTTACAAGCAGCCAGAGGTAAAAGACACAGAATGTACAGAGCCAGAGATGAGAATGACAACACACTTCCTGGTCCAGTGGAGCAACATCTTGAAAGTACTAAAAAAAAAACAAAACAAAACCAAAAAAACTGTCTGCCTAGATTTTAATACCCAAAAAAAGGCCTTTCAAAAGTGAAGGTGAAAAGACAGAGTTCTGGACGGATGGTGGCCTGAAGCACCAGCCTAGGCAACAATCACACTGGCAGAATCTGTCTTGTGTAACTCTTTGGAACTTTGGAGTTTGTTGGGGGCTTGGAACTTCCAGGGGAAGCTTCAGAGGTCAATTATGGTTAATTTTGGTCAACTTCAGCTCTTAGTCTAGCAGCAGCTACCCACCCCATGCCCTCAGCACTGTGTTGGGCAGCTGTCCCTCCCTGGAGCAGCCAGCAGGCAGTCTGTGGGAACCAGGAGAGGCAGCAGGGACCTTGCCCTCCAAATTTTTGGATCTGTGCTCTGATTGCTGGTTTTCTGCTTCTGATCGCAGAGCTGCAGACACAGAGCAGGCAGCCATCGTTGTACCCACTCCCTGTGTTTGCCAGCTCTTCTCCCCAACTGAAGTGACTTCCAGGGGATTTAAAGGGCTAGCATTCACCCCCTTCTTTCATTAAAAAGTTTTTTTTTCTCTTTGGGAGCCAGACATTGAAGACTAGGACATTCAAAAGCAACTACACATATGGGGGAAGTCACTGCATGCCCAGAGAAAGGTGAAGGCTTGTAAAAGACCTGAGAAGATCTTAAGTTTACACCTCAGGCTGATCCTCAGCACAAGACAGCCTACATTAACTTAATTAATTTAATTGTTATAAAGAAATCTGATTCCCAGAGTTACCACATTATTAGATTCAAACATTCAGGTTTTGTTTTGTTTTGGTTTGGTTTTTTTGAGACAGTCTCACTTTGTTGCCCAGGCTAGAGTGCGTGCCATGGCATCAGCCTAGCTCACAGCAACCTCAAACTCCTGGGCTCAAGCAATCCTTCTGCCTCCCGAGTAGCTGGGACTACAGGCATGCGCCACCATGCCCAGCTAATGTTTTGTATATATATTTTTAGTTGGCCAATTAATTTCTTTCTATTTTTAGTAGAGACAGGGTCTTGCTCAAGCTAGTTTTGAAAACTCCTGACCTCAAGCAATCCGCCCACCTCGGCCTCCCAGAGTGCTAGGATTATAGGCGTGAGCCACCACGGCCCCTGGCCCAAACATTCAGTTTTCACCAAAAAGCGCAAGGCATATAAAGAAACAGGGAAGTGTGCTCCATTCAAAGAAAAAGGTAAAGCAACAGAAACTGTCCCTGAGAAAGATGAGATGGCAGACCTATGGGACAAAGACTTTAAAACAACTGCTTTAACGATGCACAAAGTTCTAAAGAAAGGTATAGAGAAAGTCAAGAAAATGATATATGAACAAAGTACAAATATCAACAAAGACATGGAAAACCCATAAAGAAATAAAAAAATTGAGCTAGAAAGTATAATAACATGAAAAATTCACTTGCAGAATTCAAAGGGAGACTTGAGCAGGCTGAGGAATGAATCAGGGAACTTGAAGATAGGACAACTGAAATTATTGAGTCTAAGGAACAAGAAGAAAAAAGATTGAAGAGTGAAAAGAGCCTAAAGGACCTACCATCAAGTGGACTCATATGGATTGTGGGAGTTCCAGGGAAATACAAATAAAAACCACTTCACACCCATTAGGTTGACTACTCTAAAAAGGATGTGGAGAATTTGGAAGCTTTGTGTACTGTCGGTGGAAATGTAAAATGGCACAACCACTGTGAAAAATGGCAATTCACTTTTGGGGATATACCCAAAAGAGCTGAAAAGAGCTGGGTCTTGAAGGGGTATTTGTACACTCGTGTTCACAGCAGCATTACTCACAGTATTTACAATGTGGAAGCAACACAGATGTCCATGGACAGATGAATGGATAAGCAAAAATGTGGTTTATTCATACAATGGAATATTATCAGCCTTACAAAAGAAGGAATTCTGACATATCCTGCAAGATAGATGAATCTAAGACCTTATGCTAAGTGAAATAAGCCAGTCGCACAAAAGGGCAAATATAAGATTCTACTTACATGAGGTGTACCTAGTGTCAACCTCATAAAGACAGAAAATGTGGAATGGTAGTTGCCAGGGGCTGAGGGGAAGTGGAAGTGGGGAGTTACTGTTTGATAGGTAGCGTTTCAGTTCTGCAAGATGAAAAGAGTTCTGGAGATGGATGGTGGTGATGGTTGCACAACAATACGAATGTGCCTAGTGCCACTCAACTGTGCACTTAAAAATGGTTAAGATTGTAATTTTTGTTGCGTATATTTTACATAATTAGGGAATTAAAAAAGTGAAGGGAAATAAAGACTTTTCAGACATACAAATGCTTAAAGAATTCGTTACCAGAAGACCAGCCACTAAAGAAATGTTAAAGTAAGTCCTTCAGGCAATAGGAAAATGTTATCAGATGGAAATCTAGATCTATACAAAGGCATAAAGAGAACTGGAAATAGTAACTTTGTGGATAAATACAATTTTTTCTGTTTTGAAATCTCTTGAGAATTGGCTGTTTAAAGCAATGATAATAACTGTGTTTGTGAGGTTTATAACATATAAAGTATGACAATGATAGTGCAAAGACTAAGAGAAGAGAAATGGGAGTTTAGCGTTTTAAGATTCTTACGCTAGATGCAATGTGGTATATCAACTGAAGGTAGACGGTGCTGAGTTAAAGAAGTATACTATAAATCCCAGGAGTAGTGGTGCACATACCTGTACTCCCAGCTACTTGGGAGGCCGAGGTGGGAGGATCACTTGAGCCCTGGAGTTTGAGACGGCAGTGAGCTATGATTGCACCACTGTGCTCCAGCTTAGGTGACAGAGTGAGACTTGTCTCTTAAAAATATATATACACCATAAATAATTAAAATACTAATAAGGTATGATTAAAAACAGAGTTATGGTCAAAAAGTCAATAAAGGTGATAAAGTAGAAATATAAAAAATACTAAATCCAAAAGAAGGCAGGAGAAGGAAAAGAAAGAAACAATAGCAAGCAAATAGCAAAACAAAGATAATTGCTTTAAATCTAAATGACCTACCCGACCCAAATAAAAAGCATAGATTGTCAGATTGATTTAAAAAATCAAAACCTACAAACTGTCTACAATAAACCCATTTCAAGTATAAAGACACAAAGAGGTAAAAGTATGGAAAAACACTATTCAGTGAAAGCTTGGGTGGCTACATCAATATCAGGCAAATTAGATTTCAGAGTAAAGGGCATTACCAGGGACAGAGTGTCACTTCATAGTGACAAAGGGGTCAGGGAAGTAAAAGGACATAATAATCCTAAATGAGTATGTATATTATAGCAGAGCTTCAAAGTATATGTGAAAACTGACAGAATAGAAAGAGAAAATAGACTAATCTACGATGATAGAGATTCAGCCCTGCTTTTAATAATCAGTAGCATATAGAAGTTTTGAATAACACTATTAACCAACTTGATCTAAATTACAACAGCAGCAGAACCCATGCTTTTTTCCAGTGTACATGAAACATTACCAAGACACATTAATATCCTGGGTCATAAAACAAATCCAGTAGTCAAAATCTGCAGTCTACCAAGATAAGCAGGTCGTATCATATCTGTACAATGGATTATGACTCAAGACAGTAACTCATGCTACATGCAGCAACACAGATGAACCTCAAAATAATTATGAAAGAATCCAAGCAGAAAGAGTCCATAATGTACTATGTGATTCCATTTATATACAATTCTAGAAAGTACAAAGTAATCTGTAGTGATGGAAAGCAAATCGGTGTCTGCCTGGCAATATGGGAAGAAGATAGATTTCCAGGGGCACAAGAAACTTGGGGATGGTGGACAGGTTCACTGTTGTGACCAAGGTGATGGTCTCACAGGTGTAGATGTGTCAGAACTCATCAAATAGTATACTATATGTGTAGTTTATTGTAAATCAGTTGTACCTCATTAAAATCATGTGTATGCATATATATCCCCATGGAAACCAGAAATCCTTTGATGTGTTTGTCTCTGCTTATGGCATCCAGAACCGGAGTCCAAGTGCGATTACAAGCCACGAATCTGATCGCTGTGGCAGTGCCAAGTCATCTTCCAGCAAGTTGGGATTCTTGCCTGATATTAACAGAATAAGGAAATCGGAGGTTTGTATTTACAGCTAACCACGTAACCGCTGTAATGTTGCCCACAACTGAGTGCCAACTATGTGAAAGGTACTCCATGTGCTCAGGACCTGGCAGGGAACCGAAGGCCCATTCCCTTACGGACTTTATGTTCCAGTGAGAAGGGGAGAGGGCAGCAGGTGACGATAGTAGCAGCTAACATTGCGGGGCGTTTACCAGGTGCCAGGCACCATCTCTAGGAGGGGAGTGAGACGCAGAAAGGTTAAGAAACTTGCCGATGGGCACAGAACCAGTAAGTAGTCGGGGAGCTGGGGGTTTGTACCCAGGCAGCTTGACTCCAGAGTTTGCACCTGTTACCACAAACTATACTTTACACTTACGAGGTCTATGTGCTGGAGGGGCGTCTGGCCCAGGTGAAGCCCTAGCTTTTACTCTGGGTGAGGTGGGATGGGGGCTCTGCAAGCAGAGGCGTCCTTAGGTTCTCTGTGGTGTCGCTGTTGACAAACCAGTGAGGAAGCTCTTAGCACCATCCCAGTTGGAGGTGATGGTGTCTTGGATGAAGCTGGTCTCTGGTCCAAGGTGTTCTAAAGGGTGTGGAGTTTGAGAGGAAAAGAGAAGGCAAAGATGATTCTAAGGTTTTTGGCCTGAGCAATTAGAACAGAGTTGCCATTTATTATGATGGGAAGACGGGGCCAGGGGGATGAGTTTTGGGGGCAAAACAAAGGGGTTGATCTTGGACACGTGAGGCTCAAGGTGCCTGATTAGAGCAGTGACAGTGAGCAGTGTGTGGCTGGGGACAAGACTGGAGTTCAAGGGCAAACTCCACCTGGAGGTAGGAGTGTGGGAGTTACGGCACAAATGTGCTAGTGAGAACTCTAATACGTGAATTTAAGCACTTAATTCTACACAATAAATGCTTTCCCAACAGACCCAGGGGATATTTTTCGGGGTTTTGGGGAAAGCCTTTTGGTACATTTAATAACTATGTTATTAATTTAACAGTACAAATATTAGTATTTTATGCAGGTTAAAAATAATTAAATTAGCTCAAAGAGAATGTCCTTATTAATAATTTTCTAATTATTTACAATGTAAAAATTTAAATTAGTTTTAGTCCATAATGATGCAGAAGTAATATTTTGCTTTATGATTTTCTTTTTTAAATGTAAAATCCAAGATCAGGAAGTCTCCAAGTGAAGAGAGAATTTCCAGAATCAGTTTTAAATCTACAGCAAAAGGGCTAACCTTTCTATTTCAAAGCAGTGAGTATTTGAGCTATAGAACTTTAACAAACTGTTGCTTATAAATTATATAAAATCTATAAAAACTTACAATCATCCTTTAAATAATGAGGCTCCCACAGCTGCTTCTAATCACTTTCAAAGCGGGACGGTAGGCCGGGCGCGGTGGCTCACGCCTGTAATCCTAGCACTTTGGGAGGCGGAGGCGGGCAGATTGCTCGAGGTCAGGAGTTCGAAATCAGCCTGAGCAAGAGCGAGACCCCGTCTCTACTATAAATAGAAAGAAACTTAATTGGCCAACTAATATATATATATAGAAAAAATTAGCCAGGCATGGTGGCGCATGCCTGTAGTCCCAGCTACTCTGGAGGCTGAGGCAGCAGGATTGCTTGAGCCCAGGAGTTTGAGGTTGCTGTGAGCTAGGCTGATGCCATGGCACTCACTCTAGCCTGGGCAACAAAGCGAGACTCTGTCTCAAAAAAAAAAAAAAGCGGGATGGTACAGCACCTAGTCTGTCCCAGGATAGTTGGACCTGCCCCCTGCCCTGCACGCCCCTCCCTCAGAGTCAGATGACGTTGATTACACATTTTCTTTACAGTCAACTTTCTCTCTCAAGAGTCTCATTCTCTTTGGTTCTTAAAGGTGCTCAAATTAAAAACAACAAAGAAACCCCTGTTCAATCCCTCATATTCCTTTCGTTATCCTTCCTCCTTTTTCCCAGGAGAGTGTCTCTCGAGCTCTCTGTCTGCTGGCGCATGTCCTTCCCTCACCGGTGATGCCTCACTGTGCGGTTGGGCTTCCGCCCTCACCCCGCCAATATATCGTCCCCACGAGCATAATGCAGTGGCAATTTCCCACCACGACGCTGGCCCTCCCAGCTGCATGTGGCTTCGCTTCTGTGCCACAGCAGGCTCCTGGTGTTCCTCCTTTTCTCACTGTGCCTCTCTAAGGTGGGCTGTGTCCTGGGCCCTCGTCCTGCCTCGCCCGTGTCTGCTGTTCGGTGACTGTCATTTCCCATGGCCACCTCCTTCATGGTTCATCCCCACCAGCGTGCACCTGCACAAACACCTGCACCCACCACCCCATGCTGTAGTGTGTCCAATAAGGAAAAACTGTCTTTCATCTCACATGCCCCCCTGGAGTCCACTTTCTTTCTCTGTCCCCTTTGCTGACCGGCGTCTGGGAAAGCCACACACGCACGTCTTTTCCAGCTGCTCTCCTGTGTCTCCCTCGGCTTGCTCCACCTGGCCCTCATCTCCACTACACCGCTGACTGTCCTTCCTCATCGACAGTGACCTCCGTGATGTCACCCCCAGTACTTCTGCCCTCACGTGAACTGATCTCTCAGCAGGAATGAAAACTCTCAGCTTCTCGAAATACTCTTCTCCCTCGGTTCCTGCGACCCCTCACTGTCCTGGTTTCTTCTCCCTCTGGTATGAATCTGCAGGGCTGTGCCATTTTCCTCTGTGTTCACTGTCCTAGCAGAGAACCATGTTTCCTGAGCACTTTCCCAAAGTGCCATAATCAATACACACAGTTTCTATAACAGAGAGAGAACTAGAAATGGAACCCCAATTATTGTACTTTACTGTTAATATTATTGGCTGGTATCCCCAGTTCGAGCTACACCTTGATTTTGCCTGGATCTTGCTGGTCACCCCTTTACCCCTGGCTGAGTGCCACCTGTGCATCAGCTGCTGCACTTGTAGCTGGATCCCTTGGCCCGTGTGGCATCTTCACTCAAAGTCCCACTTCATCTGATTACTATGTGCCATGGCTGTGACTTGCCGTCCTTCGGATAGCAGGTGTCTCATTGAGAGTTCATTGATGAACATATGAAGTAATCTTTCTTCATATTCAGTCTTGCTCTGACCTTAATTAGAGTCCTGGATTGTATACATTTTAATTCTCTGAATTTTAAAATCTGCCAAGTGACTAGAAAATCAGAACTGCTTGAAAGGAGAGAAAAAAATGATGGTAGTTTGAAAGAGTTAGAGATTACTTAGCCTAGACAAGAAGAGGATAAAGAGGGCTAATCACTGGGAAATTATTTTTGTGAGAATAACCAGATGTCTAGCTCACTAGGAGAGAGGTCCACTCAGCACATAGATGTCCTTGTGTTAAAAGCATTTCAGACTTTGAATAAATAAAAGACAGATGTTGTCAAATATTTTGTCCCAGAGATCTGAACAGTTTAGTTGTAGCCCTGTGAAGGGCTGCACAAAAAAGTCTCTCCTACAATTCTTGTCATTTCTCTGTCTACCCTGCCTGTAGTGGTCCCATTCACCTCAGTGAGGGTGCAGGGAGCTGTCTTTTAGGTTTTCTGATCACTCCTTGTATATTTAACACATCTAAGAATATCATAAAATGATCAACAAAGCTAATTTAGAAGGCCTTAATTTCAAAATGAATAATATGGAAAATGACATTTATTTTGGCAAAATAACATGTTAAGTGATTCTTAAACCACAAAGTAAACATAAAATTTATTAACTTGTAGATCAAAGTGGGATATATGATCTAAACTTGGGGCCTGGAATAAATGTGGAAGCATTCTTAAAATCTGAAGTGAAAGATCATAGCAGATTACAGCACAGCGATAAAGACGATGACGACTCTTCTATTCTTAAAGAAGGACCAGGTATGTTGCTTTTAAAATATCATCCAGCCACTTGGGAATTAAAAGCAAAAACAAAAAAAGCAACAACAAAAAGCCCCACCAAACTTGAAGTCTTCTATTCTTCTAAATACTACTTAGAGAAAATCAAATTGCATTTCTAAGAATAATTAGAATGTTGAAATAGCTTAAACATTACCTATAAGACATGGCCCAAACTATAACCAGAGAAAATTTATAGTATTTTTTTCATTATTAAACAAGAAAATAAAATAACCTAAGCATTCAGACCCAAAAGGTAGAAAGGAGGAATAACAAAACACAAGGAAAGCAGAAGAAAGGCATTAACAAAATCAGCTCACTTAGGTCTTCCATGAAACGCCAGAAATAGTGGCTCATACCTGTAATCCTAGCACCTTGGGATGCTTAGGCAAGAGGATTGCTTGAGGCCAGGAGTTTGAAACAAGCCTGGGCAACAAGCAAGACCCTGTCTCTACAAAAAAAAAAAATAATAATAATGATAGAAAAATCAGCCAGGCATGGTGATGTGTGTCTGTAGTTGCAGCTACTCAGGAGGCTGAGGCAGAAAGATCACTTGAGTCCAAGAGTTTGAGGTTGCCATAAGCTATATGATGATACCTCTGCACTCTATCCTGGGAAACAGAGCCAGTCCCTGTCTCAAAAAAACAAAAATAAAGTATCTATCAGAAAACAAGAATTGTAAGACTATCACTCCAAAAGCTGGTTCATTAAGAAAAATACACATCCTTGATCTCTCTCCCTCTCCCCCTACCTCTCCCTCCTCCTAAAAAGAAAAAAAAGAAAAAGAAAAAGATATCCTTAACAATAGATATAATCTGAATAAAAGTGGTAAAACATATATGCCAAGTAGGAAGGAAAAAGTTGATAACCCTAGGTAAGGTTTTAAAAATTATAGTAAGAGGCCGGGCGCGGTGGCTTACGCCTGTAATCCTAGCACTCTGGTAGGCCAAGGCGGGAGGATAGCTCAAGGTCAGGAGTTTGAAACCAGCCTGAGCAAGAGCGAGAACTCATCTCTACTAAAAATAGAAAGAAATTAATTGACCAACTAAAATATATAGAAAAAATTAGCCGGACATGGTGATGCATGCCTGTAGTCCCAGCTACTCGGGAGGCTGAGGCAGGAGGATCGCCTGAGCCCAGGATGAGTTTGAGGTTGCTGTGAGCTAGGCAGATGCCAGGGCACTCTAGCCTGGGCAACAGAATGGGACTCTGTCTCAAAAATAAATAAATAAATAAGTAAAAATTATAGCAAGAGAATGCTATAGACAACTCCCTAAGCTAATAAATTTGGAATTTTGAAGTGATTTTCTAGGAAGATATTAATAACAAAAGCTGACTCAAGAAAATGTAGAAAACCTGAATAATCATGGAGAAAAAAATGGTCAAAATTTACCCCCCAATTTTTATGAGCAAATACTTTAAAAATTTTAAGAAAGCAGTAATACAAGAATTATAAAAAGCCATTTAGTTAATTTAACAAAATTAGCACAACTAAGATATGAAAACTTAAGATAAAAAACAAAAATAATAGGCCACTGTTCTAAACTATTATAGGAAACAGAGGGTGACGTGGAAACCACCTAGAGTGGGGATTCTGGGAAGATGGGAATGGCATTTGTATAGTTTTTTTCATCTCTCTAGATCTCCACATGAAGACAGTGCAATTAGAACAGCAAAACCAAGCAACCATAAGCTGCATACTGTTGTATATACAACCATATTTTGTGACAAGGTATTACCATGAAAACCAACATATGAGTAGACAGGGACAAAACACTAACTACAAAACCTGCATGGCATGAGAATGTAAAAAGAATGCAAGAGAAAGTAACAGATATAAAAAAGAGAAGCAATTAGGGTATCTGCTGGGCAAGCACAGCAGGCTGAACTGAGAAGAGCCTCTAACACATGGAGGGGTGGAACACAGGGCAGAGTGAGGTCTGAGGTGGGGAGACAGCTGGGCCTTGGGGACTCTTGCAATTCACAAACCAAAGCTCCTTCCAGGTAAAGCCCAATGCTGAGGGGAAAGTGTGAAGAGAAGAACTCACACTGTACAGGCTGGGGTGGTGAGGCAAAGGAGGTCCAGGTGGAAAGGGATGGGGCAGTAGCTGCAAAAGATCTCCAAGTATAGGGCCTCCTCTCACTCACCCATACCCTAAAAATTCAGGAGAACCACTTTTGTGTTCAAATCCAAAATAAAATTATAACATTATAAGAAAAAATAAGCAGCAGAATAATGGATGGTGAAAGCATAAAAACAGAAAGGCCCATAAAACGGATGAAAACTGTCACCTAATACAATATCCCTTATCTGAAATGTTTTGGATTTCAAATTTTTTTGGACTTCAAAATATTTATCTTATACATACTGGTTGAGAATCTCTAATCCAGAAAATGTGAAATCTGAAATGATCCAATGAGCATTTCCTTTGAGCATCATGTCAGCATGTAAAATTTCAGATTTTGGAGCATTTCAGGTTGCAAATTTTCAGATTAGGGATGTTCAATATATGTTGCAAAATGAGCTAAAAAGACATGAAGTGATAAAAAGGATTCACGAGGAAATAACAGATATACAAGATTCCTAACCCAATAGGAATCCCTTTAAAAGAACACTAAAGCGGTAGAACAGAACAAACACTAAGATCTATACTTTAACAACATTTTCCTAAGATAAAAAGATTTAGAAAAGATTTCAAAGGACATCTGTAAACCTGAGAAAACTGACCCAGAATTACCAACACCGACAAATTCTAATTAAAACCTCCAGGGAGGGAGGGGAATCGAGTAAACCTTAGGGTGTCCAGGCAAAAAGACCAAGTCGTTCATAAAGGGAATAAAATGAGGTTGTCATCAGACATTCTTTTTCTTTAATAACAATGCTTTAAGCCAAAAAAACAGCAAAGTTTATTTAAGTTCCTCAAAGAGAGAGTATGAACTAAAGTTTTTATATTTAGCCTTCAGATAGGAAGGCTATAGATGAACTATTAAGGCTATTCATGGAACCCAAGGACTATTGGCCTTTCAGACAACACAACCAAGTGACCATAATAAACTTGGTTATGGGGACCGTGGCCAGCATTCAATATATTCCATCTCACCTCGTGAAAGAGGTCTTCCCTGACCATCCCATCACAGTAGCACTCTACCCTGGCATCTGCTCCCTTGCTCTGCCTTAGTTTTGTTCTTTGCAGTGTCACTACTTGAAACCTTTGGACCTCCCTCATTCCTGGGATGGAAGTGTCCAGAAAGCAGAGACTTGGTTCTAATCACTGCTATTTAATATATCCCTGGCGACTAAGCAATGCTAAGCATTATTCTAGGGACTCAATAAATATTTGAGTGAAAGGATTAATAAATGAATGATCTCATTATCTACCTAGAAAAATGTAAGAGCATTAACTGAAAAGCCATTAGAAATAAGAGTTAAATGAGATGGCTCGTTAACAAAATAGAAGTATTAATTTAAAAAAACCTAATATACTAGCTTTCCCATATACTTATAGTCAGAAAATATGGAGAAAGTAGAGAAAATATTAAGAGGAAGGAAGTTCCAAGTTGGTGATAACAAGGTATATATAGGAATAAAAAGGAAAAGAATTTGTGGGATTTACAAAGTAATAAAACAAGTAACCAGGTAACAAAATAACAAAACCAAAAACAGACAAATGGGATTATATAAAACAATATAAAGCTGCACAGCAAAGGAGACAATTGAGTGAAGAGGCAGCCAGGCTGGTGGCTCATGTCTGTAATCCCAGCACTCTGGGAGCTGGAGGCACGAGGATCACTTGAGCCCAGGAGTTTGAGGTTGCAGTGAGCTATGACGACAGCATTGCACTCTAGCCATGGGGGATGGAGGCTCTGTCTCCCCTGCCCGCCCTCCCCCCCAAAAAAAAGCCAAGAGGCAACTTACAGATTGGGAGAAAATAGTTGCAAGCCATATATCTAATAAGGGGTTAATATCTAAAATAAATACAGAATTCAAGCAACTCCATAGTAAGAAAACAACCCAATTAAAAAACAGGCAAAGGACCTGAATAGACATTTCTCAAAAAGATGACATATAATTGGCCAACAAGTATATGAAAAAATACTCAGTATCACTAATGGTGAAGGAAATGCACATTAAAACCACAGTGAGATATCACCTCACGCCTACCTGTCAGATGGCTATTATCAAAAAGACGAAAGACAGCAAGTGTTGGTGAACACATGGAGAAGAGGGGCCCTTGCACACTGCTGTGGGAATGTAAATTAGCATGTCCATTATGGAAACTGAAAATAGAATTACCCTAGGACCCAGCCATCCCATTCTGGGTATATACACAAAGGATCTGAAACCACTATGCCTGACAGGTAGCTGCACTCCCATGTTTACTGCAGCACTAGTCACAATAGCCAAGATACAGAATCAATCTATCCATCAGCAGATGAACGGATAAAGAAAGTGTGGTGCACATACACGGTAATACTATTCAGTCTTAGAAAAGAAGGACATTTTCTGTCATTTGCGACAGCATGGATGAACCTGGCAGACATATGCTAAGTACAACAGACCTGGCACAGAAAGGCCAACACCACATGATCTCACTTATATGTGGAACCGAAAACAACCAAACTCACAGAAGCAGAGAACAGAATGGTGTTAAACCAGAGTCTGGGGGTTAGGCGAATGGGAGGATGTTGGTCAAAGGGTATAAAATCCCAGATGGGGGAATAGGTCTTTTGAGATCTATTGCATAGTATAGCAGCTACAGTTAATAATAATGGACAACAGAAATCAGAATTAGAAAATCTTGGATGAGATAATAGAACTCAGGAAAGAATTAGAAATAAAAGGAAAACAATTCAAAAGTAAAGACCAAACTAGAAGGAAAAAAGAGTGAATAAATAGAAAGAGAGGCTGCCTTAAAAGAAACAAAGTAAAGGTCAGGCACGGTGGCTCACGCCTGTAATCCTAGCACTCTGGGAGGCAGAGGAGGGAGGACAGCTCAAGGTCAGGAGTTGGAGACCAGCCTGAGCAAGAGTGAGACCCTGTCTCTACTAAAAATAGAAAGAAACTAATGGGCTAAAAATATATAGAAAAATATATAGCTAAAAATATATAGAAAAAATTAGCTGGGCGTGCTGGCACATGCATGTAGTCCCAGCTACTCGGGAGGCTGAGGCAATAGGATTGCTTGAGCCTAGGAGTTTGAGGTTGCTGTGATCTAGGTTGATGCCACGGCACTCTAGCCTGGGCAAAAGAGTGAGACTCTGTCTCAAAAAAAAAAATAAAATAAAAAAACCAATAATAATATAAAGAAAATTAGGAGCATACTTCTAGTCCTCAATATTAAAACATATGGTAAATGTAAACCTAGCACAAGTAGATCTGTGTTCTGGCAAAATAATAGGCAGATCATTGTAAACACAAACGTAAGCATTTAGTATATAATAAAAAGCTTATCAAGCCGGGTGCGGTAGCTCACGACTGTAATCCTAGCACTCTGGGAGGCCAAGGCGGACAGATTGCTCAAGGTCAGGAGTTGGAGACCACCCGGAGCAAGAGTGAGACCCCATCTATACTATAAATAGAAAGAAATTAATTGGCCAACTAAAATATATAGAAAAAATTAGCCGGGCATGGTAGCACATGCCTGTAGTCCCAGCTACTCGGGAGGCTGAGGCAGCAGGATTGCTTGAGCCCAGGAGTTTGAGGTTGCTGTGAGCTAGGCTGACTCCACGGCACTCTAGCCCAGGCAACAGAGTGAGACTCTGTCTCAAAAAAACAAAAACAAAAACAAAAGACATTGTAAGCAAGAGCCAAGAGGGGTTTTTCCCCCTCTGAAACATGGAAAATTAAAATTTCAGAAAACCAAAATACTTAAGCTATTTAGAAAAAAAAGGTACCAAAGGAGACTCCAAGGAAATGTCGACAGTCCTAGCCACATCTACAGAGCACTTGCCTTTTTGCTGTTGTCACCAAAGCCGTTTCTTAACCCTGCCGACCCCGGGAAGCCTGCATCACCCCACCGTGCAGAGGAGCAGGAGCCTCGGCTCCCCACAGGAAGGGGCAGAACTAGAACATGCACAGACTCTAAATTTATTGCAGGATTGTGTTAATGCTCATCTTGATTAAATTTTATTCCAGAGAAATCAGAAAAACCCAAGGATGGGCAAAAGGAAAAACTCAATATGTGGGTCCATCACATGTACTTCTTTTTTGTGAACACGCTCTTTAACTCCCATAAGCGTGAAGAGACTCTGAAGGAGAAAATAAAGGAAAACAGGCTACATAACGCAGCAATGGCTCAGCAGAGGAAAATTGAAAATGATGAGCTGGAAGCAAGGTACCTTTATAAAATCCCTCCGCTCTGCCTCTCCAAGGGCTGTCATCTTTCTTTCCTGTCTTCTGTAGCTACCTGAAGCTTCAGGACCAAATGCTTTTGTAGGGGCCCAAGGAAAACTTCCCCTTTGGCCTCTGAAGGTTCGCTGAAAAATCAACTCACAAAAGGCAGACTAATGTATTAACATGTACATGGGGAGAACCCGAGTGGTGACCCAACCCCCAGAGGGGTACAGAGCTGACAAACCACCTGGAGGTTACAGAAAGAATGGGGTAGATAAACCAGGTTGCAGTGGCATGACCAGTTACGGGAGGGAGAGAGGAGGCCTGGCTAGAAAACGCGTCGTTAAGTCGATGAAACCTGGGAGACAGCAGGCCCCAGAGAACAGGGGTCAGTGTTACTCTCGGGTTTCTAAGGTGTCAGACCCTCTGTGCTGCCTCGATCTAGACAAAGCCTGGCTTGTGCAGATCCTCTGCAGATGCCAATTTCCCCCACACAGACAGCTTCACAGGGCTACTCCTGTTTACTTTCTTGGCAGCCATCTCAAAATATGTCAAATAAATATATTTTGGGATAAAATATTTTGATTTCTTTCACTTTCATTCAAAGTATATCACTTTCCTAAGGGTGTCTTTGACATAATAAAAAATACGTATTTGGTCTCTGCTCCTGGTTCCTGGAAGAACTTCAAGAATTTTTGTAACATCCAGAGTAACAGGGGTGATTGGAGTGTCTTTTGTTCTAAGATTTGGTCTTAGTTCCTGGTGCCTGACATAAGAGCTTCTAAGGCCCCTGGAATCCCAGGAGTGGTGAGACTGTCCTTTAGCATGTGAACCAGATGACTGGTGGCCAGGCAGGGGCCCTAGAAAGCTTCCGACTGGGGTTTGTGGCCAGAGGAACCAACCACGTGATTGGAGGGTTGAAACTTCCACATCCATCCCCTCAGCACCCGGAGAGGGGCTGGAGACTGAGCTCAGTCACTAATGGCCAATGATATAATCAATCATGCCACACAATGGAGCATCCATAAAACCCTAACAATGGGGCCTGGAGTTTCTGGTTGGTGAACACATCTACACAAGGGAGGGTGGGGCACCCCAAACTCCACAGGGACAGAAGCTCATGTGCTTGGGACCCTTCTGAACCTTGCCCTGTGTACCTCGTCATCTGGCTACTCATTTTTATCCTTTATAGTGTTTCCTTGAGTTCTGTGAGCCATTCCAGCAACTTATTGGAATGAACCTGAGGAGGGGGTCATGGGCACCCACAATTTATAGCTGGTTGGAAAGAGCACAGGACTTGGGATTGGTGTCTGAAATGGGGGTTGTCATATGGGACTGAGCCCTTAACTTATCAGGTCTGTGCAAACTCCAGGTAGACAGTGTCAGAATTCATTGAATTTTAGGACACCCAGCTGGTGTTAGAGTTGGTTGGTGTGGGGGAAAAACCCCTCACATTCAGCATCAGAAATGTTGTGAGTAGAGGAAGCATTGTTCCTTTTAGTGTGACGTCCTCACCCTGTACTGAGGACAGTGGCTAACTGTGGGTCTGCCTGGCTAAGTTGGTGATGACACCTGTGCCCCAAAGCTCACATGAAAAGGCAATGGGAAATAGTGGCTGAGAGCACAGGTGGCAGATCTAGACAGCCTGGGTTCAAATCCCAGCCCTAGCACTTGACACTTGGGTGGCCTTGGGGATGGTCCCCATCTGTGAGGGGGAGATAATACCTTGATGAGGCTTAGAAAACAGTACCAAAATGAAGGCCTCGGAAGCAAAAGTTCTTTTCTGACCCTCTCTTGTCCTCCTGCCTCAGTCTCATTCTTCCCTGACCCCAGCCACAGAAACCAGAAACCCTCTTCCCCAAGGTGGGTCATAAAAGCTAGAATCCCTTTTCCCAAAAGCCAGCCATAAAGCCTAAAATTATTCTATGTAAAAACTGGCCATAATGTAATTATCTCATTGAGCTTGTTTGACTACAAAATCCTCTATTCCAGAAAGGGCCCTGCCCCACACCCAGAAGGAAGGATGCTGCTCAGAGAGGCCAAGCAGAATCTAGACAGGCCTTGCTGTTCCCCACTCAGTCTGTTATTAACAGCATTAGCTCACACCCTATTTGTCCAATCACATTTCTACATAGCTGCCCATACTTTGTTGAACCTAAGCATAAAAATGGACAATTTCCCCTGTATCTTTGAGTTTTCATTCTGAAGACTTTCATATATATTTTTTTATATGAATCTGCATCCTTTTCCTCCTTAATTAATCCATCTGCCTCCTGTCAGTGATTTTTCAGCAAACCTTCAGGGAGCCAGGGGCCTTTGATCCCTACAACCTTCTAGGACTGTTGTGAGGATTAAATAAGCTAAAAGTTGGCAAAGAATCTAGAACACATGGCCTGGGACATGGTGAGCACCAGTATGTGTTGCACACGCACCTTCTGAGGATCATGGCTGAGGCTCAGTCCTGCAGTGTCACGGCAGTCCAAGTGCCCTCCATACCTTTCAGCCTACTGAAGAAAGTGTTATTCACACTTAAGGAAAAGCATACATGACGCATTTTAAAAGGCCACTTCTTAGTGCTGATAGCTGAGAAAAATAAATAAATAAAAAATATATAAGGCCACTTACTAGCTGCTAGGTCGGTTTACAGATCACTTTAGATATATGCAAAGTTTGTTTTGGACTGTCTAAATACAGCAACACTTACTATTTCAGGCAAAGCGAAGACAATTTAGTTTTGTTCACAAACATGGTTGATAATGCGGGTATGGGCTACTGTATGTGATATGCAGCACAAAAACCGGTCTTGCAATTTCAAAGGAAAAAAGTTACCTTCTCACGTTTGCTTTTAGGCTGAGTATCTTAAGAGAGGAAGAGGCTAAAAGGCAAGACTATGATGTGGACATCACTGTGATCAAGGAGCCAGTGGACGCCCCATCCTCTAGCTTCACAATGAGCTCCCCCAAAGAGGACTCAGCCATGTCCCCCAGCAAAGCCATCACGACCAAGAAAAGGAAAAAGTAAAGGGCTGCTAGTGCCATGAATGAGCCACGAGAACATGCACATATAAAGGAGCTTGGAACTGCAAGGACTGTAACATTTCCTGAACAATAAAATTGTTTGCATTATACTTGTTATCTTAGTGTTTTTGGTTTTTTTTGAGACAGTTTCTCTTTGTTGCCTAGGCTAGAGTAAGTGCCATGGCGTCAGCCTAGCTCACAGCAACCTCAAACTCCTGGGCTCAAGCAATCCTACTGCCTCAGCCTCCCAAGTAGCTGGGACTACAGGCATGCACCACCATGCCCAGCCAACAGAATTCCAGGGAAAAAAACTACAATCATGATGGACAAAACAGCAGGAAGACAAAAAATTAGCAAAGATATAAATAATTTAAGCAATTACACTAGAATGTTTGAACTATACATATAGCTAGAAACTAGAATGCAACAGAGAATAAATACTGATAAATTTTTTCTATATATATTAGTTGGCCAATTAATTTCTTTTTATTTATAGTATAGATGGGGTCTCGCTCTTGCTCAGGCTAGTTTTCAACTCCTGACCTCGAGCAATCCGCCTGCCTTGGCCTCCCAGAGTGCTAGGATTACAGGCGTGAGCCACCGTGCTTGGCCTATCTTAGTGTTTTGAAATACTCCTGCCTTGGCCCACTGCATCTCAGCTTTCCTATATGCCTGGATCCCCGAAATGCCTGCATTTTAAAAGAGTTGAATGAAAATACATGCATATACATATTAAATGAATGTGTATTAAATATGTACCTTAAAAAATAGAGTACTGGCTAGGTATGTTGGCTCATGCCTTTAATCTCAGCACTTCCCAGGAGTTCGAGACCAGTCAGGGTAATGTGACGAGACCTCATTTCCACACACACAAAAAATAGCTGGGTCTGGTGGCACCTGTTGTCCCAGCTACTCAGGAGGCTGAGGCAGGAGGATCCCTGCACCCAGGAGTTGGAGGCTCCAGTGAGTGAGCTGTGATTGTGCCACTGTATTCCAGCCTGGGTGACAGAGCAGGACCCTATCTCTAAAAAATAAGAAAAATTAAAAAATATAGTGGTGATTAAGTTTAGAATCTGACAAAACATCAGAAGAAGTGGAGAGTGGATGAAGTTATTGACACATTTCTTCAGACCCCCCCCCCATGCCAGCTGGTGCCTTCTTTGCCTTCATAACCACCCTTTGTGCCCTACATGTCACCTCACTCGCAGCCTCTGTCCTGGTCCTTCTCCGCAAACACCCACAGCACTCTCCTTTGCATGTGGGAAATGCCAGACAGCAACTCTAGGCAACAGCAAGGTGAGGAGCAGGCCCTCAGTGGGTACTGGAAGGAGCACATGTAGTCTTTGTGAGAAAATTTTATGGTAATTTGAGTTAAAACTTAAAGGTAACCACCAAAAGAATAAAAATACAATCTGCAGCTTCCAAACTAGTAGAAAGAACATAGGAAACCATTGATACAACATAAAGCTGAGGAAAAGGAAAACAACAAGGGAAGGATGGTAAATATGACACACAAACAGTGGCAGGACAGAGTGCAAATCTATCTACGACCAGCAGTGTAAACAGATTAAACTCACTTATCTTCCCCCCCCCCAAAAATAAACCCAAACCCAGAGATTGGATTGGATTCAAAAGATAAAAAATTCACCTCAGTGTTCCTCTTTGCAAAGGAAATATCTTCAAACAAAATCACATGAAAAGGATTAAAATAAAGATATGCAAAAATATGTACCAGGCAAATATAATCAAGATAACTGGAATAGCAAGCAAGATTAAAGACAAAAATAGAATTTAAGTCAAACACTTACATTATAGAGGTAAAAATAAAGATCATGATAAAAGGACCAACTACTGAAAACAAGCATTACTTATGTACACCTTCATGTCAGCCTTGCAAAAGCCAACAGAATTCCAGGGAAAAAAACTACAATCATGATGGACAAAACAGCAGGAAGACAAAAAATTAGCAAAGATATAAATAATTTAAGCAATTAAACTAGAATGTTTGAACTATACATATAGCTAGAAACTAGAATGCAACAGAGAATAAATACTGACAAAAACACTGACCACATTTTAGGTTGAAAAGTACAATTCCAAATGATACACCATAGGCTATGATCTATTCAAATCAGTAAGTCAGCAATGAACACACACAATAAACAAAGCCTAATGTGACAGGAAACTAAAACCTGCAATGTTAACTGAAGCATGGATTAATAGGAAATCATAATGGAAATTGTGAATTATTTAAGGATGAGTGAAGATGAAAATACAGCTGTCCCTCTGTCCCTCGGTGTTGGTATTAGAGAGGGACTGGTTCTGGGACCTCCTGCACGTACCAAACATTGAGGATAGGCAAGTCCTGCAGTTGGCCCTGCAGAACCAAGGGTGTGAAAAATTGTTAGCTCCCTCCGGATCCATGGGTCCCACATCTGGTGATACTGTATTATTATCCACCCACATTGGTTGAATGCTCGATGCAGAAGCTGCGGATACAGAGCACTGACTACAAGGGACGCAGCCATCTTCTCTCCTCCCTAACGCTAACAGGCTCATGCAGGCTAAGTGAAGGGGACCATGGAGAGTCACTTTTAGGGCTGCAGAAATAACGAAATAACGTTTGTTCCAGACCAGTAGTTAACTAGTTCCCACCCAGACTCTGGGATGTCCAGACCACCAAAAATGAGGTAAAGAAAAATTCAGCCAGACCTCATCTCCACTGTGAAGATGCACGCACAGCAGTGACTTCTGGAAGCTCTACATGCTAGATAGACAACGCTTTCTGTTTAGATCACACCGGCGCACTGATTAAGTTCTTTGTGTTAGATGTGGTCTAAAAATCATGGTAGTACTCAAGATAAAACCAAATCTAGCAATTACTTTGGGCCAATGTCTAATTACACCGCACCCAGGTCTCAGGACTGGGGAAGGAACCCCAACCCTGAGAAGCTCTAGCTTGCTGGGGTATCAACCATGAGTTTTAAAATGCCCAGAGCATAAGCCAGGGACCCACTGGCCAGAACAATAGGAGACAGACTTAATGCAAAAGCAGAATTTTAAAAACTTTAACAATTTATTAGTCTTATTTTCCAGTAAAATATTCACATAATGTCAAAAGAATGGAATGATAGAGATATAGCCAACTACCTTTAATTAATTCCACATAAATATTTAAAATCTAAAAACCTCAGGGGATCATCAGACCAAGTAGAAATTTGATTCTTCAAAGCAAGTATTGCTTTACTATTGTCATTAATCCAGTCAACAATATGACCAATAACTTGCAATGGTAAACGAAATGTTTGCTAAGTTTTTTCCAAAGATGTTTTCAGCAAGCCATCATCAGTCAATCCAAGAAGAATATGTTATTGAACTGTGTTGCACAAAGTTTCTTTACTTCTTCTGCAAATAGAACAGAAACAGTAAGTAAGGAATAGAGGTTGTCACTTGTAACTTGATATATTAGTACCTTTAATTCTTTTGGAATAAAATTGGGAATAAATAGATGTCTTCATTAATTTTGACCTTAAATCCCAGAAGACTAGCTAAGAAATATTAATAAATTGAGAGAAAGGGAAAAATACACCTAACAAACCCACAACACCTCAATACTTGTTATAGCGAAATGCTGCTTCTCTGGGCCTGAAAAAGTGCTCGAAAGGTGCCCAAGACACCCACCGGTTAGGGAGTTAGGAGCGCCACACTGAAGACGGAATCAATCTTGAGAAATGTGATGGAATGATGCAAAAATTCTAGCTGCAACCTTGAATCACAGATCTAGCGTTCCACAGAGGAATCATTACCTTGATTTTACTAATTCCCAACCTAAAGGAGGCATGTATTAACCAACATTTCCAATGCATATAACTGTTAATACAAGTATTAATATAAAGAGAAAATTTTAATATGCCCAAGAAAAGCAGTACCCAACCTTTTTGGCACCAGGGACCATTTTCATGGAAGATAATTTTTCCACAGACTGGAGGGAGGGGGGATGGTTTCAGAATGATTCAAGCACATTACATTTATTGTGCACTTTATTTCTATTATTACATTGTACTATATAATAATTACACAACTCACCATAGGTTGGGGACCCCTGCCCTAGAATATGTATGAGGAAGAAAAAGCTCACACCTCTTTCCTTACTGTTTCCAGGTGGGCACATATCCCCCCACCTGCACCCCTCTTTGTTCCAGCACAACAGCAAAGGGGCCCAGCTCAGTGAAGGTGACCACCAGGGCAACGAACATGTCAGGATCTGACCAAGCGGCTACTGGGTCACACTGTGGAGAGGACCAGACCAACCGCTCTGCCTGGAAGGCGGGAAAAAACGCCTGCATTATCATTTTGCTAATGTACAGACAGACAGTTGTAAACCGCCATGTGAACCTGGCAGCTCTCCCTACAAAAGATGTATTTTTATTACAGGATATAAAAAAGGACATTTTTATACACAGTACTTAAAGCCACCGCTTTTTTTTCTTTTAGCATCACAGAAAATAATTTTCTTCTGGCCATTGTAAAGTTTCCTGTGCTTCAAGGGAGTCTGTCATATAGTTTTTCAAGGAATTATGACATCGATTAAAAAAAATAAAATGGATCAAATGCTGTTTTTTTTTTTAAAACCAGCTTTAGGGTCACCTGCTTAGCAGAATCTCAACAATCTTGATTTGTTCTATTTACCACATTTCTTAATACACTGAAAGGATAGTTTTTAAATATCAAAAGCATTAAAATTCTGCTCAAATACCAAATCCTATTTACCATTTACTTCAATCAGGTTTGCGTTTTTTTGATTCAAAATAACATACAGCTCCCGCTGATCCGACTTTTTCCCAACAACCCAGTAATCACTCATGGCTTTCACGATGATTTCTTCATCTTCATCTACTCTGTAAGACAAGAGTTTCAAAATATGATAGTTTATTATATACAGAGCCAGGTTGTGAAAACAAAAATTTCAAAATAAGAAGAGGAGACTACACAGGCATGTTAAAAGTTCAGGGCTCACATGCGAGTGAACCAGTGACTTCCAGGCTTACGAATCTATTAGGAGGTGGTGCCCGTGAGCACAGCTTGAGCTCCCTGGGAGGGCGCTGGGTCGCTTGGAT